GTATTCTAGCTACACATAGCAGAAGCTGGTCAAAAGACTCAAAGCCCCTCTTTTCTACATCCAATGAATAAATAAAGTTGGGGGGGATCAAATGAACAAAAAAATTTTGTGGAAAAAGGTTGTGTTTTGCAGACAGGCAGATGGTGATGTTATTGGTGCTTGCATGACCTTTAAGCCACCGGAAGGCAACTCGGATTGACCAAGTAAAGCAATGGGGAATAATATAAACTGTTTATATGGAGATAGGTGACACAAGACAGATTTGCACTGACCCCTTTTTAATAACAGAATATTCTACTGAGGATCCTGCAGCGAAACACGGAACAGCGACCAACAACACCCTGATGAGATTAGTGTGCGGGCAACTTTGTTTGATTGGATAAGAACCACGGGGTCAATGGAAATTACGCTGATTTTTCCATTCATTAATCAACTGATGAGAAATGGAAAGGACAGGAAGCTGTGGTATGAGTTCGCATTGGTGAAGATCGCATCCTCATGACTCCCCCAAAATCATGGAGCGGGTGAGAATCTCGAGAACTCTGCAGATAATATTTTAAGCTTTCGAGATGTCTCCAATGGCCAAATCTATATGTCCGTGCACCTTAGTTATCAAAAACTTCTAACACCTTAGTTATCAAAAACTTCAAGATCTGTGATAGTATGTTGATACCAATATAATCGGTAGGATCATGAATACACAGATTTAGTCATCCCTTGTTCCACCACAAATTTTCAAAGCACGTACTGCCTCATGTACATCTAGGACCTAAGAGTCGAAGTTGCAACATTCTCATCTTTAGAGGGGATTCTTGAAACTCTCCCTTTATCATCTAAATGATCAAAGTCCAACTCGAGCCTATGAGAGTGTTCATAATATTTATAAAGATAACACTGCATTATTACATTACAACAAGAAAATATGTCCAAATTAATCCGTTGAATGAGGAGCCGTTTAAGGCAACTCAATGAAGTAAACCGCCGAGGTCACACGAAGTATATTTAAGTCCCTAGAAAATTTGAAAAAAGATGTTTTCGCCCTTTTTTTCTTGGGTGGTCCAAGGAAAAAGGGAAGAAAGTTGAGTAGATTATTCTATAATATGACCAGGTAAAAGGGTTTCGTACACATTTATCATTATCCAACCCTAAAATAAATGCTAAGAAGATACCACACGGACCTTCCCCCGTCAAATTCCATTCAGGATGAATTGACTCCACTACACAAGAGACACGTGCCATTTTCTTTTTGGAAATTATGGTTTAAAAAAGAAGAAAAAAATTGACTCGTTTTCCTTTTTTCTTCTTTTTGTAAATTTTTGTGGGAGATGATCTCGTCCTGAGGCCTGCCTGCCTGCTTCTTGGCACCAAGATTGCACCAGCTCAAAAGGGCCAATTATATATCATCCACCAATGGATGAATTTTTTGCAAAAAGCATATTATAAAGAAAATAAATATATCTACAATAATTAGATAGGTCGGATGCTTATTTGGATATTTTCAAAAATCTATTTACATGTGATAGACTGCCATCGAGTGCTGAATAAGACTCGCTTATTTGAACGATAATCACTTGCAGCTTGCCACATTAACTCATAAATTGATTACATAAACTAATTTCAGTAATTCTAGCCAGCATTCTAAAACAAATCACACATACACAACCGAATCACTTTGAGAGAGATCGCAGTATGTCATTTTTGGATCCTTGGAAGCGAACTACATGATCGAAGATGAGGATCTTCGGGCATAAACTAATGGAAACGAGGTTTTGAGCAATGCCTGCATGATCATCCCGGGAATGATTGATCGAATCTATCATCTGATCATCGTAGTTTAAATCGTTGTATCGAGTTCGACACCCATGATGTCGAAAAAGACCCGAGCGGGTGCATGAAGAACACGGCCTGATTCCCTTCACTTCAGTTCGTGCGGTAGGTTTTGAATTTCGACAGAAGAGGGCAAAGAGAGTTGGGTGAACGGTCGGTTCTTTCACCTCCATCGTCGTTTTCATGCAGATGACCGCCGTCTAAGCAATTCCAAGTTGCTAATTAATAAACTTTGCAGTTGGATTTCTCTGTTTACTTGTTTTTATTATGATGATAATAATTTATGAATATTATTATTATTGTTTGTACTATCATTTGCGATGACTTTTAAAAGTTTTGTCTGTTCATAGGCTGTTTAGAAATGACTTCCACCGGAGTTTAACAATAGACAATTGTGTGGCTCCTTGATGCATGGTGAAATGAAAGCCCATTTTGGTAAATAGATTTGATTTTACATATGTGTATATATGGTTTACATTGTAAATTATGCTACTCCTCATGAGTTATTCAGAAATACGCTATATAACGTTGCCCGTCCCGTTTTATAATTGATATGTTTTTTTGGGGGGATTAAAAGGCATTTTTCTAACATGATGACATATTACGGGTCATGAGTTTTCTCGACAATTTCTCTTGTATTTTTTTTTTTCCAATATTATAGGTTTTCTGCATTTTTTTCCAACCTCTAGTGGTCCTTTGATGTGGTTACGTCCACATCTTGTATCTCGCTTGTGAGGTTTACAAACGACGCAAAACGAATACAATACCCGGATATGATGGGAAAGTTTTCAAAAATTTTAAATTTTTGGAAAAAAAAAAACAGTCGTAAGACAAATATCCAACTATACACGTAATACAATGTCTCTTGTTCCATCACATAATCATCTTGAATTGAGGTGTGCATCGGTCTCGGTCCAATTCGGGAATCAAACCAAACCAAATCGGCTGGTTCTGGATAGTTCCCGGAGGGACCGGTCCGATTTCTGGTTCCAAAAATTTGGAATTAGGAATAACAGGTCCGATTCCCGGTTTCACATAAGAAACCAGATCATCAGACCAACCAAAATTTTTTAATTATTTTTTTATTTTGAAGCAAACCCTAATTAGTAAATTATTTTTTTTAATGTTGGGAAACTCCTACCTATAAGGAATAAAAGAAACCAAAAAAAAATCACCTATTTCGGGACCGATCCTAGAACCGGATCGGACCGGACTAATTTTGGTTCCAAAATCAGGTGGGCCGGCTCTCGAATCTACAAATTGGAAATCAACTCTGTCTGGTCCGATTTCAAATTTCAAGATGGGAACCCATCTACCCTGAAATCGATTACCCTAATCTTGAACATGGCTAAAGCAAAGCCTATCAACTTTTGCTTATTATAGTTTCCCACGTGGCTATTTTAATGGAGTGCAAGGTGTCACCAATAGGATATTGCCCCCAAAAAATCAATATGGACGATGAGAAAGGAAGAAACTGAAAGATATATTATAGGCTAGGAATGTTTTTTCTATTTTAGAAGAAAAAATGAGATATACCTAAAAGATGGGCCATGTTTTCCTTGAAGCAGGCTTTGGATTGGTAAGTTACAAACATGGACGTCACCCATTATTTATATTTAGTTGAGTTTTGCGTGTAGATGATGTCCATAGCTTGTAATCTGCCAATTAAAGACATGGTTGAAAGAAATTTCCTTAAATATATTTCGTTTATTTTTCTTTTGACCAGATGACCACTCCAGTTGACATTTATTTGATATAGATCTTTCGTTACGATAACATCATAAGCCCTCTCTCCATCAATAGGAAACTTAGGATGTCACGATCACTTCTCTTATAATCACCTAACTTTTTGAAATTCGAAAGGATTAATACCACAAAAAATCTCAAACTAGTATACTTATGACAAATTTACCTCAAACTAATTTTTTGACCACCAAAAATCCTAAATTGGTACATCTGTGACAAATTTACCCTTCGTTAGTTTCCGTAAAATTTTACCGTCAAATTGCTTAATTGGATAACACATGACAGTTGACGGGTATACCAGTTTAAGGTTTTACCCCTCCGTTTGTCACAGATTTACCAATTTATGATTTTTTGTAGTATTAATCCAATTTAACGGAGGGTAAGTTTGTCACAAATGTACCAATTTGAGGTTTTTGGTGATCAAAAAATTAATTTATGGTAAATTTGTCACAGGTGTACCAGTTTGGGATTTTTAGTGATCAAAAAATTAATTTAAAGTAAATTTATCATATATATTTTTCGTGATATTAATTCAATTCGAAATGGAATTAATGACACGAGAATCCTGTGACATGTGATATCACTGTTACCGTGGATATTATCTTGTTTAAAAAGCTTTAAAATCAACATTGGCCCAACATGATACCACGATCGATAACAGACCGTTATTGGTCTGAAAGCTTCTTAAAATAAGACAAGTTAAAGATAGTTTGCACAATCTTTCAAGGGAAAATTACCAAATAAATTCTAAATAAATCCTAAATTTACTGTATTTGTGCCAATTTGATTCTAAACCTTTCAATTTAACTAATTTAGCACCAATTTGCCAATTTAGTCCTAAACCTCTCAATTGTGTCAATTTAATCCTAAAAATTTTGATAATTTACCAATTTAGTCCTTCCAGCTAAATTGGCCGGAAATCGCTGAAGTGGCGGTCTAGTCAACGTCAAGCGCCTTACGTGGCATAGCCGGCACTGATGTAGATAGTTTTTTATAAAAAATTTCTGAATTTATAATTTTTTTTTTCTTTTTTCTTTTCTTTTATTTTCTAACCCTAGTTCGGCGAGGTCGTCGGCGGATCCTCACCGGCCACAATCGGGTCAGCGACCCTCGTCCACACCAATCGAGGGTCACCGGCCAAGGGTTAGTAAAAAAGGAAAGAAAAAAGAAGTAATAATAATAAATTCGGAAAAAATTTTAAAAAAATGTTTGTTCACATCTACGTCAACCGTCGTGCCATGTAGGACGGCCAATGCTAACTAAACTGTCATGTCAGTAATTTCCAATCAAAATTGGCTGGAATGACTAAATTGTTAAATCGTCAAAAAGTTTAAGACTAAATAAGCCAAATTAAAAGGTCTAGGACTGAATTAACACGAGTGCAATTAATTTAGGACTTTTTTTTGGTAATTTTCTCACCTTTCAATTTAAAGGTGTGTTGGGGACTTTAATGAGATCTTGTACCATTGGGAAAAATCTGGGGGTAATGGAGTGGAGCACTACAGGCTAGTAGCATTTCAAGATTGCTTAAACAGATGTTCACTCATGGATATTGAAAGCAAGGGTTGTGCAGTCACTTAGGCCAACAACAGGGAAGGAAGAGCACTGGTGCGGGAAAGGCTAGATAGGGCCCTTTGTAATATAAACTGGAGAGTGAGTTTCCCAAATGCGGAAGCCTTTGCACTGCCTGCAATAGGGTCTGACCATAGTCCAATTTTGCTATCCCTCCAACCAAACAGGATTAAAAGGAAAAAAGAATTCAAGTTCGAGGCGTTTTGGCTGGCCGATACGGAGTGTAAGGAGCTGGTGAAAGAAGTTTGGGGTGAACTGGAAGACAACCCAATACCGTTCGCTAGAAAATTGAAAAAGACCACTGAAGCTCTAAAATTATGGAGTAAGCATAAATTCTCCAATGCCCACAACCAGATCGAGATCCTAAAAAGAAGACTTACGATCCTTACAAATTCAGGAAATGGAGGCAAAAGCAGAAAAGAAATCCAGCAAATCAAAGTGCAAATACAGAATTTATGGAAACAAGAAGAGCAATATTGGAGTATGCGATCTCGCATTAATTGGATTAAGTGGGGAGATAAAAACACGAAATATTTTCATGCAGCTACGGTCCAAAGAAGACAAAGGAACAAAATTTCAATGCTGAAAATTGATGATACTTGGTGTAGAGACCCCAAAGTTATTAGCCAGCACATTGCCAGTTATTACGATTCCTTGTTCAAGACAGTGGGCACCAGGAACTTCAATCCAATACTAGACCAATGTTCCTTTCCTGGCCAAGAAGAAATGAATGAGGCTTTGATGGCACCGGTCACCTTAGAAGAAGTAAAACAAGCTACATTTCGGCAAGGAGCTACAAAGGCCCCGGGACCTGACGGGATGAATAGCCTATTTTACCAGCATCATTGGGAGGAATTACAGCACGATTTACACGGACTAGTCAGCTCCTTCTTCCAATCAAGACACCTTGACCCGGAGCTTAACAAAACACACATCGTGATTATCCCTAAAGTTACAATCCTAGAAAGCATCACACAATTCAGACCTATCAGCCTATGCAATTTCAGCTACAATATCATCTCTAAGGTGATGGCGAACCGCCTTAAGCCCTGGCTCCCAAATCTCATAGCAATAGAACAGAGCGCCTTTGTGAGCGGGAGACAGATTCAAGATAATATTTTTATAGTCCAGGAGATCCTTCATCAGCTAAGAGTTCGGGAGAGAAAAAAGAAGTTCCAGGCGATCCTAAAGTTGTACATGCAAAAAGCTTACGACAGAGTTGAGTGGGACTTCCTTTGTGCTAGCATGAAGAAAATGGGCTTCTGCGAAGAGTGGGTGTCGTTGGTGAAAGAGTGTATCTCCTCTGTCACATTCAGTGTAAAAGTGAACGGAGAACCTTTAAAGTACTTCCAACCTTCTCGGGGAATTAGACAAGGAGACCCACTATCTCCTTACTTGTTTATAATCATGGCGAACATGCTATCGTCCCTACTAAGAAAGGCTGTAGAGGATGGGAGTTTGAAAGGTATCAAACTAAACAGGAACTGCCCTACTCTGTCACACCTGTTATTCGCTGACGATGCTATCTTCTTCCTGGATGGGAATATACGTGAATGTCAAAATCTGGCCAATATCCTAAACCAATACTGTTTCGCATCGGGACAAGCAATCAATCTAAACAAATCCGGGATCTTTCTGTAGCGCGGGCTACCCTCAAAACCTTAAAAGCAACATGGCGTCCGAACTAAGAGTACCAATCATGGAGAAAACTGGGAAATATCTTGGCATTCCATCAGATTTGGGACAAACAAAAAAACAGATGTTCGCGTAGATACTAGGAAGGGTAAACATGAAGTTGGAAGGCTGGAAGGAAAAGCTGCTCTCAAAGGCGGGCAAGGAGATTTTAATCAAAACAGTAGTACAAGCTCTTCCCCAATATGCAATGTCCATATTCAAAATCCCCATTTCGGTGTGCAAGGCAATTGAGCAGAAAATAGCCTCCTTTTGGTGGAAACAGAACTCATCTAAATCGAGTATCCACTAGAGAAAATGGGAACTTCTCAAAGAAAGGAAAATAGATGGTGGATTGGGCTTTAAGGATCTAGTTACTTATAACAAAGCCATGCTAGGAAAGCAAGCATGGAGACTTGTTCAAGATCCGACAGCATTGTGGAGCCAGCTACTTAAAGGTATTTACTTCCCCAACGGAAATCTATGGAAAGCCACAAAGGGATCCCGCCCCTCATGGGGGTGGCAAAGTTTACTAATGGGAAGAGATGCCTTAAGCCCAGACGTGAAATGGCTGGTCGGGAATGGAGATTGCATTAACATCAGAGAGGATATATGGCTGGAACGCGGATTAAAAGGTGGCCCAGCAAACCGAGATGACCCAGAAAAAGTCGCAGAACTGATCAACCAGGAGACAAAAACATAGGATGTTAATCAGTTACAAAGGATGTTTCAAGGGGAAATTGAGAGCGAAATTATGGCCATACGGTTAAAGCCAATCTCGGACAATGATAGACAAATTTGGACAGGAAACTCATCAGGGGAATATTCGGTAAAACAGGGTTACTCCAAGCTACGAGCTGTGTCAACCAAGCTAAATACAGATCTAGCGTCCTCCTCTTATCAGCAGCCCCGCTCACTATGGACAAAGATATGGAAACTACAAAACGAGCCAAAAATCCGCTTCTTCCTGTGGTGTGTGTGTCACAATGCTCTGCCTACATCAGAAAATCTATACAAAAGAAAGGCCTTACCCGACCCTTTATGCCCAACTTGTCGGGAAAACCCAGAAACAACAGAACACATATTCGCCCATTGCAGCTGGACAAACAACATCTGGTCAGATCCGAGGCTTCGAGTGGACGCACCACCAGCAAATTTATCAAGAATGGATAAATGGTTCAACGAATCCCTTACCAACATCACAGAACAGTCCGGCCGAGAGGTGCTTGCAGGAATTCTCTGGCAAATCTAGAAGGCAAGGAACGCCTGGGTTTTCCATCAAATCAGCCCAAGATCGGGAGCAATCGTTGATGAAGCAATTAATCTAAATGGTAACTACCGGGAGCAAAACTTACCTGTGTCGTGGAGATGGCGGGTGAAATCCAAGACAGCGCGATGGATGTGCCCAGAACATGGAAGCTGGAAATTTAACGTAGATGGGTCGTGGATCGAAGGGGAAATAGAGGGATCGGTGGCTAGGGTATGCAGGGATCACAGAGGTTTGTGTACTGTGGAGTTTGCTAGAGCTGCGTCTGCTTCCTCCCTGCTGGAAATTGAAGCTGCAGCAGTGAAGGAAGCTATGTGCTGTCTGGGAGAAGAGGCAGCGACGAAGAACAATCTAGTGTTGGAAGTCTGCATACAGTCAGACAACGCAGCTACAGTAAAATACACTCATGACCCAGCTTTGAGCCCATGGGATTTGAGGAGTCTGTTTGAGGAACGTAACAAGTTACTCTCCCAATTAAAGAGGGTTTCTCTAGTCCATTGTCTGCGCGAGACCAATCAAGTAGCAGATTGGATCGCCAAAAATCATCGAAAAGGGATGCTTCCATCCAACTGGGTGTCTAGACCGCCCCAATCTCTTTCGGATTTATTTTGTATTGACGCTTGTCATCTTCACTTTTGTAATCCGCAGTTGAATGAATGAATGGAAATCTACATTTCGACCAAAAAAAAATTTTTAAAAGGTTTTTTCTTGACGTACTTATGAACAGGAGGTCAACTTGAATGGAAAAGAAATAAAAGGCAAGATACTAATAATTTCGCTATGCTCGCTAGGTCCGAAAGTGCAAACGCTCGGATCTAAATAAGTCGTTCCCTTTCTCGGGCACCCCTTGCTCGGTCGGGCCACGTCGATATTTCTTCATCGTAAAAAAGGCTTCACTAAGGATTTCTTACATCCGGCATCCGAACCCGTCACTTCAACGTTCAATTATTCTAAGAACCTCGGAAAACGATATTGAATCTATAGCACGGCCCTAAGTGGTTACCGAACCCTAGCACATATCATCCACATGCACATAGCAAAGAACAACACAAAACAGCTGTAATCCCCCATCTTCTAAGTTCAGATGGACCGTCTGTGTGTGTGAACGTTCGGATTCTACAATCTAGACCTCCCCCCATAAGGTGGGATGTCGTGCATACCATGTATTAATTTATATTCGACCCTCAAAAAATCACAAATATATATACACACACTTGTGAAATATATTCCTCTTTTTTCCTTCCTTCATTTTTTGGGGTCAAAACCCCTTTTTCTTCCTCTCGCCATGTGAAAGGTGTCAAATGATATCTTCACGTGCATGCCACGAGATCCGTCATGGACATCACGAGCCGCGGTATGGACTTCCTTTGGAAATTTTTTAAATGTTTGAGGAGCCCCGTAGAATATTCCTTCTCGTTTATTTAAATCCGTCGTGTTCCTCATTGTAATTTAAAAGTAGACCAAATTGTGAAAAATTAAAGTTAAAAAATATGTACATTCTCTATAATATTTACAACCAGCCCACACAACTATCTATCTCATGCCTCCTTATTGGCCAAATTTTCAGAGTGTGTTGGGGAGTCAACCATGTCTCTAATCACACGCATACTATGATTTTGGCTATTAGCGGTGGTAGATAAGTCTCGTGCAAACACAAATTAGCATGACCCGTTTTTCAAATCCGATCAAATGACGATACCCTGTAACTGAAACAGAGGATGACCTCGTATGGAACTCCGTAGAAGTCCAAGTGCCACCATTCATCAGGTGTACTGACCTGTTGAAAGGATGAATTAGTCTCGTGCGATCGGAAAATGGCGCGGCGCGATTGTCTCCGAGTCGGAGGTGATTATTTTGTTATGTTTTTAAGAGTGTGTTGGGAGAGTCAACCATGTCTCTAATCACACACAATTTATGACTTCAGCTATTGGCGGTGGTAAATAAGTCTCGCGTGAACACAAACTAGCACGACCCGTTTTTCAAATCCGTTCGAATACCAATGCCCCGTAATCGAAACGGAGAAACGGCGTGTTGGCAATTAATCCATCATACGGAACTCCACATCGCGACATAGGAGTCTAGGGTGCCACCATTCATCAGGTGTACCGACTTGTCAAAATGATGAATCAGTCTCGCGCGATCGGAAACCAGCGCAACACGATCGTCTCCAAGGACATAGGTGATCATTTTGTGATGTTTTCGGTGTGTGTTGGGGGAGTCAACCATGTCTCTAATCACACGCAACTTATGATTTTGGCTATTAGCAGTGGTAGATAAGTCTCGCGCGAACACAAAATAGCACGACCCGTTTTTATACCGATGCCCTGTAACCGAAACGGAGAAACGGCGTGTTGCCGATTAATCCATACGGAATTCCGTGTCGTCACGTAGGAGTTCAGGGAGCCACCATTCGTCGGGCGTACTGACCTGTCGAAATGATGAATCGGTCTCGTGCGATCGGAAAACAGCGCCGCGGCGCGGTCGTGCTCCGAGGACGGAGGTGATCATTCTGTTTATGTTTTTTCTTCGTGCGCCATGATTAATTTAAGGACTAAGGTTCGTGAAAATTGGACTTAAAAGATATGGATTCATCAATGGGGGGACATTTCTATTGCGAAGTCACAAATCACCTCACGAGACGAGAAATTGAGAGGGGAGATGTGACGTGTCGGGTGCGGTTGATCGATAATTGACAATCCATAATCGATATAAAAAGGGGACCAAGAACACAATCCATCATTCCCTCCCTCCAACTTTTTGGCCTCTGCCTCTGCCTTTCCTTTCCTTTCCTCCCTCTCTCCCTCTCTTCCTTTCGTGCTCCGGTCGTCTGGTCGATTGATTGCTGACCGGTGAACACGACGAACGCATTCTTGCTCGCGGGGTCTCTGTTTTCCTCTCGCCATCCGTCCATCCATCCGTCCATCGCTCCGGTTTGATATTTCGCTTTCGCTCGTGTTGTATCCGGGACGAAGCGTGTACAAACGAAGGGGGGAAGAACCCGAGGCCCTGCAATTCGAAGCAATTGCGCCCGAGCTCGAGCTTTTCCCTGTTATGGAGAACCAGCGCCAGAGTCCCCTGAAATCGAGATTCAGGCGCGTCTGCGTCTTCTGCGGGAGCAGCCCCGGGAAGAGCCCCTCCTATCAGCACGCTGCCATTCAACTCGGGAAGCAACTGGTACTGTTCCGAGTTTTTTTCTAACCTAGAGAGAGAGAGAGAGAGAGAGAGAGAGAGATTTGTTTGCGTGCATGGAAATGGAAAGATATGTGCTTTATTGGGCTAGACATGCATAGATAGAAGTTGAACTTGCTTTGTGCTGTACATCTGTTGGGGGCTATGAATATATAGAAGTTTACACGCGCGCACGCCCCGGTTCTGTTCCATAGCTGAATGGGTTTAATTGAGCTGTTTCATTGAATTAAAGCCCAAAAATCTAAGCATGCTCTGATACCCTTTTCGTCAAACTGGGAAAGCTATGGAACCATTCCTTGTCTGCATCGAGTGATTCGTGAAGAGTGAGCGCAAAACAGAGAAACAGGGGACTCTGTTTTTCAGGAACTCCTGTCTGCTGGAGCTTGTCTTTTTCTTGTGTTGCAAGAAAAACGGAGTCAAGTGGATTTGAAAATCTAGGCGGACGAGGAGAGTGGGACTAAAATAAGAGGAGGGCGTGAGGAGGGTATGGTGATAATTGAAGTAATTATTCGAGGAGCGCTCTGTTTGGATCGAATGGCAGAGAGCTCTTGCAGGGGCATTGTGTTTGAATCGAACCCGTCACTTCAACAATTTTATCAACTTTTCGCAGGTCGAAAGGGACATTGACCTGGTGTATGGTGGAGGCAGCATTGGTTTGATGGGTCTAGTTTCTCAAGTTGTGTACGATGGGGGCCGCCACGTGTTGGGGTAAAACATCCCCTCTCTCTCTCTCTCTCTCTCTCTCTCTCTCTCTCTCTCTCTCTCTCTCTCTCTCTCTCTCTCTCTCCCTCTGACCTCTGTGCCTGAAGCTCTTGCCTGTATCCTTTGTCTTCTTTGGGTTGCAGGGTGATTCCCAAGACGCTGATGCCGAGAGAGGTAAACTCACTGTGCAGTTTCTAAACGATCTACTTGCATTCACAAGTTGACGATCTGTAGATTTTATAAATCGAGCTACTTGCATTAGCAAGTTGAGGACGTCGTTAGGCTTTTTGTAGCGCTTCAATGATGGAATAAATAGGGATCAGGTTCCCGGAGCACTTCTCGCACCCGCCACCCCACACATGATCAATCATGCCTTTTGTTTCTGTCCTCGTGATTGTGATCTGTTTTAGAATTTATGCCTGAAACACATCAATAATTGAGATTATTATTGTCAACACACCAATCAAAACGAGACGCTGACTTGGCCGAAATAGTCCAGTTGGGGGACACAGTGATTTGGGGAGTTAAATGAGGGGTCAATCTAATAAGGACGGCACATTGTTATGTGTTCAGATCACGGGAGAGACGATCGGAGAAGTGAGAGCGGTGTCGGGCATGCACCAGCGGAAGGCCGAGATGTCTCGTCAAGCCGATGCATTCATCGCCTTGCCTGGTACCTCCTCTTTCATTTGATATGGACTTGGTTTTTTCACGTATGCTTAGTGCACAAAATTGAGACGATTGTTCGCTGAATTGGTGGTTTCTGCATAGGTGGTTATGGGACCTTGGAGGAACTCTTGGAGGTGATCACATGGGCTCAGCTGGGAATCCATGACAAACCGGTAATCACCCGAACTCCATTTCTTTTAACATCACTTGTTTCTATCGGCGTACGGTACGCTACAATAATGAACTAAATGGTTACTAATTGGGAAAAAAGCGAGTGACAATGTTTGTCGACTAAACTCCATATCATCACTTAGCAAAAACCCAGTATATTTCGCAGTATTAAAGAAAAGATGGGTATTAGATCCATGTCAATCATGCCATGTCCTTTTCATATTGGCGAGGGAAGGCAATGATGGGTATTTTCATGTTCAATTGTTCCTTCGATAAAACGAAAAAGAAAACATGAAAAACAGGGAATGGAACCCATGATGTATAACCTGATCTTGTTGTGCTCCGCAGGTGGGATTGCTGAACGTGGACGGGTACTACAACTCGCTCCTGTCGTTCATCGACAAGGCCGTGGACGAAGGCTTCGTCACTCCCTCCGCCCGCCACATCATCGTCTCTGCCCCGACTGCGCATGAGCTCCTCGCCAAGCTCGAGGTACAAAATTCTTGATCCTTCCTCCCTCTTGTCATCCTCATTCCCTCGTGAAGTTCATCTGTGATCTGAGCCCTTGATTCGACTGACTTCTTGGTTGTGCCAGGAGTACGAGCCGAAGCACAGCGGGGTGGCCTCCAAGCTGACCTGGGAGATGGAGCAGCATCTGGGATACTGCACCAAGTCAGACATTTCCCGTTGACCCCTCCCCCAGAGAAACACTAAGTACTCACACACAGAAACACTACCCTTTCGATGGAGGATTGACCACCGTTGATTCGGGGGGAATTCTCTCGCGAAAGTTTGACACGACTTTGTAGATGATTTGGGCTCCCAAAAAGAAAGAAAAAAAAAAGAAAATGTGAAAAAGCTAAAGGCAAAGGAAGAAGGATCGTGCAGGTCCCCACCACGGTCTTTTGTTTTATAGGCCGCGGATATCACCATGGGGATTGCATTCTTTTTTTTTTTTTTTGAATTATTAATTGTTGATCATTGGGGTCGACAGTTTCTCTCTTGGTTAGAGTCTAATCTTGGGGCAAGGATTGGATCACTGGCTTAGCTTCGATCCTCTGTAATTTGTATATTCGGATTGTTAATGACTATCCAAATTTTGCTTTCGAAAGTTGAGGAGGGGGAAAGAGATTGTGATGGGTTTTTGTTCGAAATTTCACCATCTTTTCGAAGAACTTCCAGATCCTTTTTAAGTCCAGTCATGGATGAGCGCCTCGTGTGCACAGAAGACGAGCACACCTGTCGTAGACCCGTACCCGCAAAGGCCGCTGCCGACTGGCTGGTTTGTGTGTGTATGGAAAGAGAGAGGGGTGAAAGCAACGGTGGGGGATCGGTGTCTGCCTCTCTTTTTCCGCTTTCGCTCGGTAGCTATCAAAGCATCAAAAGTGGAAAAAGAGGAACTTGCCGTCGAGATCTCAAAGGGTCTTCACATGTTTTTTCACCTTCTTTAGGGGCCGGTCGTTCCTACTTCTGGATAAACACTAAAGATCGAACGCGTCACCAACGCATTATCTTGGTCAAAAAGGAGAAAAGTTTCTCTCCCTACCTTTCTTGCAAAATCTTGGACCGAGTAGGTCCTATGTGAATCCAGCAAAGTTGGGTTTCGATGCATGTGTAGCTAGCGCACGATCTGGTGGTTGGTCCCAAATTGGCTATCAGTTCAGGGATATTATTGTTATACTCCTGGCATGTATGCTCTCTGGAATTGATCAATGGGGGCGGGCGGATTCCATCTTTGGGCCTATGATTCTAACCTTAGGATTTGATTTGGGCTGGCTGGGAGAGAGAGAGAGAGAACGACTTAGCCAAGCTTAGCAAAATCCCACTTGTTAACTCTTACTAAGCGGACAGGGTCGTACGTGCCCAAGCTGCCCATTGAGAGAGTTCTTGGTTTTTACTGAATCATGTCAATTCAGAAGATCGATCTCAACAGTTATAAACGGTGCTCGTTCTAAAGTTTCTTTGTTCACACCATTGTCATCGGGTTCGGCAGATCATATGAGGGAGATAAAGAGAGAGAACTGGGGATTTCTCAAGAAGAGTTGCAGCCCAAGACTTTTTTATTCTAGACTTCTCAGACATACTAGTTGGGTTTTGCTGATATGTTAAATGTCGCGTGCGACGCGCTATACTACACTCTACAGTGAATTTGATTGGCAATTTTCTTTAAGCCCAACGGCCAAGTCTCTTTAAGGGGGAAGGGATGTACACGAGAAGAAAAGAGAGCTCGCACACTTGAGTCTGTGAATTGTGAATGGTGATTACAACATGAACTGGAGATAACACACACAATCAAACAATAATGCAATTAGTAACCAAAAACGTGATACTCTGTCTATGCTTTCCCAAATAACTGTGTCCGTAAGTCTTCGAGCCACATCCAGACTGCTGCTGCTGCTGCTGCTGCTGCAAGGGCTTCAATCATCGTCTTTGAACTCTCTGTCCACCCAAAATATATATAAATCACATGGGCATCACCAAGCTTATAATTGCAGTCCAACCAATTTGTAGATTCAGTCCTGATACTAATGGAAATGCACATTATGGTTCTGTGAATATTCCATGGCATAGAACTTCATATCCTACAACGAAATTCTCCCGCTATTGAGGGATGGACAAATATCATGTCCGTCTTCTTCCACACAAGATTTAACTGCTTATTCACTGTATACAGACACGTGTTGATGGTCACCTAGAACATAGTATGCTGTTACTCGTGGTAGGGGAATTGAACTGAGGTGCACCACTTGCCAGAAAGTGGTAAGGATGCCGCAGGCTCAGTCAGCGCGTTTGCACCGTGATGCGCTTAAAAGCATTCCTTTTTTATCATTTAGTATTTCTCACGAGACAATAATAATTCTCTCTCTTTTGCACATAAGTCACTTAACAAAAAAGATGATAATTGTATGAAGGATTTTGTTAACAAGTGCCCCAACACCCAAATAAAGAATAATTGTCATTTCCAATGCATTGTCTTTCTCGTATTATGTGCAATCAGTTCATTGGAAATGAGAATATTTCTTTATTTAGTATAATTTACAAGTGCCTGGAGAACTCATTAACAAGATCCTTTTTCAAAATAGGTTTTGTTTTGTATTAGAACCGAGTGCAACATCGGCAATGATTAATTGAATGAAGTAATTGAATCATCCATTCGTAGGATAAAGAATGCATATCGTTTTCTTCAGGAACAAGCTAGCACCGTAAGACTTGTGTTGATATCTTCAGATTGCATTAGTATGAGATGATACCAACGGGTTGCAATGTAAAGAGTGAATCAGTGTACCCACTTTGAGGTTCACAAGGGGGTACAATACTGCAGTATATCCCTTCTAGTGTTGTCTGAATTTCTGTCATGATAAGGCCCGACAATGTTGTTGCATATTTCAAGTTACTTATGTGGATGACTATAGCTTAAGCTTTTGATCTAAAATCAATATCCAAGAGTTTTACTCTATGAGAGAATAAACAGAAATCCAGATGAGAGAAGCTTACCTGCGATCGAGGTATCTGGGTTGAATCCCAGATCCTTGACATGTGGTGCAAGTCAAAGAGCCAGCACCATCACAATTGATGCAGCGTGACACTTCCTTCTCGTCACCTCCAAGTTCCACAGTCACAGTGCCAGTGCCCATGCAAAATCTGCACCTCTCTGGAGATGGCAACACTTTCTCAGAATATGAAATGAAGGATATTTATGTAATTTAATTGCGTTGAATTGGGACTAGAACTGTATACAATAAACCGTGATTTGCTTCTGTATCGGTTGGAATTAGATGCCCAGCAAATCCACACGCCGATAGCTTCACAGCGAAAGCTTAAATTTGGACTCCTTCATAGAGTTCAATTTTCGCTGTCATATTTGAAATAGAATCTTTTTCGTTTTTCACAGTCAGCAAATACACATACCATCATCAAAGTGCTCAGCTGGTCCTATGATGCCAAACATAAGAGACCACTTTGGAGTTCACCGGGGTTCTAGCTCAAGTGAAGCAAGGGATGTATTTAAGCAGTTAGTGTGGAGCTCAACTCCAAATTCCTGAGAGCTCATAAAAGCATCTTTTGATGAAGATGAATTAAGCCCCACCGCCTCGGAAGTAAGGAGATTATCCGACAGCATTCATCATGCCATGCAGGCGTGCATTCGGATATAGCTTAATGGGCTCCATTTTAATGTAATTGACAAGAAAGCAACATCCTCGCCAAATAGCAAGTACCATCACTTAAACAACTCGCTCATGATCCAGACTACTCCCTACTTCTTAGACGGACAAATGCTTAAGCACCGACGTGCATCTGGATCTAGTGAGTCGGATGGTATGAGGAATGCAAGAGCATACAATGTTCTGCAATAAAGCAATGCAATTCGACGAGTACAGAACGACCCGAGAATCTTCATCAATTCAAACATGTCAAATAGTAACCTCTAGCATCATGACTCGACTACTCAAGAATCAACACCATGTCAAAAGGGGGTGTCCGAGATAGCTTACGAGCGCCGGATCCATCGCAAGGAAAGCACGCCTGCGTGTTCTCTCTCTTGGCCTGAGAAACACAATTTTCAACCCCAGAATGAGCACACGATCAAACACCTCGAAGAAGTCCATAATTCGTTCAATCGCAGCGAATACACATGCACCCAGAGGAGCGGGAAACGGGAGAAAAACACTCACAGCGCTATCGATTTGCGACTCGTAGAACACCGGGATGCCGATACCGACCGCCACGCTCACAACCCCCACCGATATGGCCACAACCTGGACAACCAGCACCGTTTTCTCACAGCCGAACGCGTATCCGACGAATGTCGACACGACCCAGAAAAGGAAAACACCGTTTCTCTAGCGGGAAACCGGAGGTAACGCGAAACGAACCGTGTTCTGGTCGAGATCGACAGCCCTGATGCGCGGGTAGGAAAGGGGCGAGCGTTGGGCTCTGGCGGACTTGGTGGGCAGAGAGGCAGAGCGCCTGAGCGGCGAATGGAGGAACGGAGTTCGGAGACGAGGAAGCGAAGGCGCGAGCGACATTTCTACCCAAAAGCTCCCCTGCTTCTGCGCAGAAATCTGCTTCGAAAACTTCAAATGTCTCTTGCTCAATTCTCAAACGCGAACAGAGAGAGAAGCAAACATCTCGCGAGTTCCAAAGAAAGCTGAGCAGAGCGAAAGCTCACCGACGCCACGAACCGAGAGGAGTTTTGGATATGTGGGGCTAGTGGCGTTTGTGTCTGGGATTCACATGACTGTTCCTGTTGGAGACGACTCCTGCGCACCATTGCTTTAGGAAGTCCCACGTGGCCATTGCGCCGCACTGAGGAATGGGAGTTTTCTCTCCGGAAACCTGTTTCAGTGGACTCGGCCCACGGCGACCGTTAGATTTTGCGGGACTCGCGCGCTCGACCCTTCACGTGAGACTCGCAAAATCAACGTCGAGGATCGAACCGGATCCGGCAGACTTGGGTGACGGGAAGAGATTGCCCTTCCTAGCGCGTAGTCATGTTTGGTAATCTAATTTTGTAAAGTAGCTAGTAGCTTCTCGAGTTATTATGAAAAAGTGCTAATTCATGTCAATGTATGGATTTTACGTATTGGATTGTATTGTGTGATCTTGAAATTTTCTCTTTGTAATTCATATTTTCCTCGTGCTATGTTTGTTCATGTCACATCCAAAATGGTTGTCTCTAATATTGCCGACCTCACCTGGGGAATGAGAAAGAGGGCAACCCACCTCACGTTGAATGAACAGCCTCGCATTGTTCCATATAGATGTGTAGCTTGAGCACGAACCAGCTCATTCGGAAGAAAAGTGAAGAGATCACCATCTGTTCAACACTTGAATAAGGCGTGGCTCTTGACAAGCTCCTATTTCAATCAAGGTTGCAGGAATGATAAGCCGACAATGATAAGTCTGGGGAATTTACAATACCCTATGTCTTATGGGACACCATTGAAGGCAAAAATCATGATTTTTTTTTTAGGAATTTTGAGTAGATACATCGAACCGGAGCATTACAAGCTGCAACCATACCAGTGCACTTAAAACAAGCTAGGCCAAGAGATGATTGATTAGCTTAAAAGATCAACCTGCACAGTTGATTTTTGAGATGATGTGGTTGAGCATGTCAACGTGATCCACTTTATCAGAACATCTCTGTACAGTTTGATACACCATTATGTACCCTCGATATTTGTTCTCTCGAGCATTATTGCTCTTGCACCATGAATTCAATTTAATAAGGAGTGAGCTTGGCCCATATCATGACCATTTCCGTGATAATCTATATCTGGGTTGAGCCCAAGTAGCGTAAAGGCCCAAGAGGAACTTCATTTTGCATTCTCTACCCAAACCGCAACCATGAGATTTACTATGCCCTACACCCACTAATTTGAAGTACCTTGAAACGATTATTGTTCCTTATTTACACAATGCGCTTACAGACCTTATTGCCCTAGAAGATCTTTCAGTAGTTCCTAGTGCAAAATCACGCCTCAAGAACGCGTCGTCGAGGAGCAGATCATCCGACAAGAGGTCGAAATTAGCTGCTTTCCGTATGTTAATTCGTGTGGAAAATCAATCTAATCTATGGAGCTTGACATTGCCATAAAGAGATTGATGAGTTGCCACTGGCCTGTAACTTTTTTCTGTAAGCTTCACAATGGACGCTCTCCTTCGGGGAGCCAAGCCGAAATGAACGGGATCCTAGGCACAAAGAGCGGCAAAGCAAAATGGGAAGCCAATCAGCAATCAGTAATGTGGTCCAGAAAAGTTTCTACAGCTCCTATGCAGGAGCTCTATTTCTTGTGCAGCATGATTAGAAGTACTAATCAGGGCACATGATTTCTTGGGTCTCTCCATCTTAATTATACCCAGTTTGCAAAAAAAAAAAGGCAATTAGACGATTGATACTCTCGAAAACAGGTAATTAACCCGCTAATTGATCTTTAATGTCCAATTGAATTTCATTCAGAAGGTCATCATAACGAGCACCTCATTGCACAAAATCAAAGATTTCAAAGATTTCACTCAGCATCTTCTTCATGCTTCTCTCATTCTTGCTGCAATCTTTGGAAGAGAGAAACTAGACAGTAGACACAGGCTTTTTCTTTCTTTCTTTCTTTCTTTCTTCTTTTTGTGGGGTTGTGGGGAGACTGTTAAATTGGGGGGATAAAAAGAGAGATGAAAGGGACATGCCAACAAACAAACAGATATAATGAGGACCACGTGAAGGAATTACTCCTGCCGGTGAACTGGGAATCATTGGCATTGTACACTCGTCCCCCAATGAACAGGTTTGTTCAAAGAAAGAAAGGTACTTGTTTCTTGGAGGATCCACCGCATGTTTCACTTGACCAAAGCCCAAGAGGATTTGATTTGATTAGATGATGCATGGCCTAAGTGCCCGTGTGTTAGCCTCTTGTCTATAGAAGATGGCCAATTCAACTCCCGGTGGGTGCTGCATACACCTTACTTTCGCTATCACTAAGCTCGGGTTGAAGTTGAATGACATGATAGTTCCCATGAACTTAGGAGGCTTCCTTAACGTACTCTTGAATATTCCTCTAATGCTGGTGCTGCAACCCATGACAGGACAACCATACTTTCTCTCCTTTGATGATGCGTAAGTGCACGAACTCATTCTGATGTTTCGTGCATTCTCTAATCAATCTAAAGGATGGCAGGCCGCACACACTCGAAACTACGAAATAGTTAATCTTCCCACATGTTTTTGCACTCGTCCTAACGACGATGACAAAAATGACAACAGCATTTACTACTACAACTACTGCAGCTCCTTCTTTTCCTCCTCTTCCTACTACTTTATCCATTACAACAGCGAACTACATCTCGTTTTACTATACAAGATTGGTTATTTATATGGATCATTCCAGGTGATAGCCCTCGATTATGTATGAAGTATTCAGTAACTTACAAACACTTCGCATATTGTTTTATATACGGTCGTCTTCCACATTTTGTAGGTCTTTCTCTAACTCCATTAATTCTTCCTTCGACGAAGCATTTTCCATCTCTACCGCACTGATTTTGTGCTCAATATACCACGCCATAAAGCGTTGCAAGGGCATAGTGTCGTCCTATAGAAATTTTCCTCGTGCCTATATCGCCTTCGATGATCACACAAAACACCAACCTCAATAAAGAGGCCCAGTGACTAGGCTATGTTCAGAAATTGTTTACACCAAAAAATGGCCAACTTGTCAACATGGCTCAATCATGGTCAAAGATCATCAAGGGACACATGGCAGAGACTTGAGATAACGTGAAAGTAAATATCATCAAGTTGCCAACATAAATAACACGTGTCCAGTGTATATGTTTACACCCAAAGATGACAAATTTTTGGGTATTATTGACAAGACTGGTCACGACTTCATCAAGGAAATTTCAGTTCTGCATTAGCTCGGGAAAATGGTCATAACTTCTTCGAGACAGATCGGATTGACCTGATTCCAAAGCCAAAAGAACGAAGACTCATGGATCTACAACTTTTATGTTTTAAGTTTTCTCAGAAAATCACTGTAGAAGCCATCGAGGTTAAAGGAAGTCGACGGTCGTGACTTCATCTTGTCGAGGACTTCGACATCTTGTCGATACTTCGACGAAATTGCAGTTCTGCGCTAGTTCGGGAAAATGGTCATAACTTCTTCGAGACAGATCGGATTGACCCGATTCCAAAGCCAAAAGAACAAAGACTCCTGGATCTACAACTTTTATGTTTTGAGTTTACTCAAAAAATCACTGTAGAGTTTTCGACATTAAGAGGAAGTCGACGGTCGTGACTTCATCTTATCGATACTTCGACGAAATTGCAGTTATGCGCTAGTTCGGGAAAATGGTCATAACTTCTTCGAGACAAATCGGATTGACCTGATTCTAAAGCCAAAAGAACGAAGACTCCTGGATCTACAACTTTTATGTTTTGAGTTTACTCAGAAAATCACTGTAGAGTTTTCGACATTAAGAGGAAGTCGACGGTTGTGACTAGTTAGAGATGCAGAAAGAAGAAGTAACCGTCAACATAGTGGAGTCAAAGCAACCGCCAACGTAGCGGAGCAAAAAAAAAACCTTCAAGGTAGTGGATTCAACGTAACTGTTGGAAACCACTAAGGAGCATACATGCGTATTTTGAGAGAACAGTTACTTGGAACCATGATTATGAGGAAGTTATCACTTGTGGACAAGATCGTGAGACAGTTATCTTGAAAGCAGAATCATGGCATCACATGGACATGAAGACAAGATTTTCGGAATGGAAGAACATGGGCACAACTGTTGAAAACTGCTAAGGAGCAGTTACCACACAATCATTATAAATATCACTGGCCATCTACTGGAGAGAGGACCCCCGACAAAATCAAACAACATGTTATCTTTCAATTATCTTTACTTTCATGTACCGCACTTTATCTTTCCTTAGTTGTAGCTTTCCAATTCGCGTCGTCGATTAAATTCCGGCGTGTATCTCTATCCCGAGTGTTGCGTCGTCGATTAAATTCCGGCGTTACATCTTTGTGTACGTGTGCGTCTGTATTTTCAAGCTTTGTCGTCGATTAAATTTCGGCATGGTTTGTACATATAGTTCGGTTCGAAGTTCAGCGTAAAAGTTCGCCCTTTTTCCTTGTCTCCCTGGATATTTTCGGTCCGGAGTCGCCACAGAACCCGGTCTCCTCACATTAAGAACCGAAGAACGACTTTCAGTGAATTATATTTCGCCGCGGGAGCATTTTCTGGTGAAACAGAAATCATGGAGATTAATAGAGACCGTCGCGTGCCGGAAGCCAACTCTGACCCGAAAACCGATTGATCTAGCCAGGACCAAGTTGAAGTTGGATCGACAGGACTGAACCAACCGATGAAGGCAGGCTAGACCTAAACAAGTAAACATGCCTTACATCCTCTTCAAACATAACATAAAAATCTTTCGGCACCGTTCTTGTTAAGCTTGTTCATTGCACTCACGGTAAATGCACGGATCCTGAGCTTTGTTCTCTCTTTAGCTTCCCCTAGTTTCCTTGCACAAGTGATAAAGAGACGAGAAAAGATTAAATCCATATCCTTAGGGAATAAAGGGCTTTTCCCAAAGTCATGAACACAGTGAAATCGTTTCTTTAAAGCATGATTCCACCCCAATTAAGGTCACCTCAAATCCTTAAAAAAAGCACGTCCATCGTGACCAAGACTTGTCGAAGAATTAGAGAAATTAGCAACACGAAAGTCGCAATTGATTACATTTCGACAGTAGCGTTAATCGACCTAATACCTTAGGCTAATGGTGGTGGGGGCAAGCAGCAATTTGTCCCGATGCACACCCGCTTTTCAAACTCGCATAGAATATGGAGATCGACGCACCATAGGGTAATGAGATAAAGCCTGCACGAAGTTTGTTAGATATATTTAAATTATATATGATATTGTTTAACCTTATACGAGGGCTCATATTTTATGATAAACCATGTTCTATATCGTGTACGACGTAGGTTAGGACATAAACAATGGTTGATGCAACATGGACGCGGGTCACATGCTTTTGCTAGAGCAGTTCAACCGAACTGGACCCTTTCCATGCATTTAATAATTGAATGTTGTGCCTCGACACGACCCTTCCTTTTTGGTGGGGGCGACGCGAACGAAAGTTCAGATTCGTTCTGGAGAGGAAGCTTTGGGCACTTCGATTCACCATGCGTACGTCCCTCTTATCTTTTTCAGCCTTATTCATTATCCTATGGCTAATTCAAAGGTAAACGTGAAATTACTTAAAGAATCTAAGCTCATGGTAAGTGTGATGCCCTAGATTTAATTCACTCAGGTATTATTTGTTTTGGCCCGTCCCATACCAAATCTCACGATTTTGTCCTCTGGCGTACAAGTGAATTCCTTCTCAGAAGGTCAACCATTCTCGTAATGCTCCCACTTGAGCACGCTTAGCTTTGGCATTGCCGTTACGTCAAAATACAAGTTGATTCCAGTTTTCACACACACACACACACATATATATATACTTTATAATCGCTCTCTTCATATTCGGTATACAGTTCGGTTCATTCTTGCCCTCTTCACCATCCTAGAAGCCTACCAGGAGCCGCTCCTTATCCATACCCTCTAACCCCAGCTACTACTCCCTGCCATCATCTAATCGGGTCGTTACAGTAAACATTTTCGGCCCGCCCCGAATGAGCACGCTTAGCTTTGGCATTGCCGTTACGTCAAAATACACGTTGATTCCAGTTTTCACACACACACACACATATATATATACTTTATAATCGCTCTCTTCATATTCGGTATACAGTTCGGTTCATTCTTGCCCTCTTCACCATCCTAGAAGCCTACCAGGAGCCGCTCCTTATCCATACCCTCTAACCCCAGCTACTACTCCCTGCCATCATCTAATCGGGTCGTTACAGTAAACATTTTCGGCCCGCCCCGAATGAGGAGATCTTGCTGGCATGAACTTGCTTCTCGCGCGCATGCCATATTACGTCGCCCGACAAGCGACTTTGTTCCGCCTTGTTGTTTCGGGGAAATCCGATGTTGCGCGACCTCGGTGACATCTTCCGATCTTGTTTGGGTAAAAAAGAGACCGACACCCCCCGCAAGAGCGACGGGAAAAGCAAAGAGGGAAGGTCCCCCAGCTCGGGACGAAAGGAGGAAAAAACGAAGGAAGGGCAAGGGGGGGAGGGGGGCGTACGAAATTGAAATTGCGACAAAGGAAGGGACCCATTTAGTGGGTGGGGGTAAAAAGTAACACTATGAAAACCGTTGTGGGGGGCAATTTTACGGTGCGTTTTTTGTCCACCTGTACAAATCTAGTCGTTAAGCCTTGTCCGTAACGATCAAAATACTTTTTGCTCACCAAATGGAGCCCACCTCACTCCTCTACCCTCGAAATTAATCACCCCGGGACCCAGTTGCACAAAAAAGTGTTGATGTACAACACGATTAAGTAAGTATTGCAGTGGCAGATCTCTTCTAGAGGGACGAGAGTGTATTTTTAGTTGCAGACAGTGCTTTGTGCTTTGTTATTTGAGTTTCAGTATTTGCTTTGTTTCGCAGTTGTTTGAGATTTGTTAGGCTTTGTATGACTTTTATGTACCTCTCGGTATTATTATGATGCATGGGATCTTTTTTTTCGACCAAAAAAATACAAGTCTTGATGTACACGATTAAGTACGTATTGCACTAGCAGCGCCCCTGAAGCTTTTTCAATTTCGCAACCAAGTCGATGAACTTCGATTCGAATCGCTCTGGAAAATATGAAGATCACTTTGATTGGAATCCAACCAGTTCTTTAGCAGAGTGCTGTAACGTAACGTTTAGAAACCGGTTACCAAGTCCGTCACGTCGATGTTTCGCCGGAAAAGTTGAACCATCTGTCAAAATACGTCAAAGGCAAAAGAACTAAAATTTCAACGCATTTGGTGATTGATATCAAATTCCAACAGCTTTTATTGTGGAATTCGTTGAAGTTCGGCAACCACGACCGAGATTTACCATTAAGACGAGAGTCGCGTAGGATTGTTATACCTTGATAGAGGGTAAGGGTCTGTTTAGTAACGTTTCTGTTTCTTTGTTTTTCTGTTTTTTTATTTCCCGGAACAGAAAAAGAACAGAAATCCATTTAGTAAAAAAAATCTACTTTTTTGTTTCCGGAACAAAAAAGTGATCCTGGGATAAATTTGGAACAGAAATAATAAGCAAAAAAAAATCTACTTCTTTGTTTCTGAAACAAAAACGAGAAACAATTTTTTCTGGAATCCTCCAAAAACAAGAAACAATCCATCGGCCGCAACCCGCCCACCGCCGCCTTCCGCCGCCGCCCGCGGCCAAAGCCCGCCGGCCACCTCCCGCCGCGCCGCCCGCGGCCGCCTCCCGCCCACCGGCCGCCTCCCGCCCGTCGGCCGCCTCCCGCCCGCTTCCGCTCCCGTCGCCGACCACTGTCCTCCGCCGCTCAACGCTTGTCGCCACCGGCCGCCGTTCTCCACCGCTAGCCGCCGTGCTCCATTGCCCGACGCCGGTCGCCACCCGGCGCTGGCCGCCTTCCCCCGCCAACCACCCGACGCCGGTCGCCACCCGGCCGGCCGCTTCCCCGCCTAACCACCCGACGCCGGTGATCACCCACCACCGGCCGCCGTCCTCCACCGTCGCCGACCGCCCACCACCGGCCGCCATCCTCCGCCGCCGGCCATTGTGCTCCACCGCCCGACATCGGCCACCACCTGGGCCGCGCCGCCCCGCCGCGAGCACCTCCCGCCTCGGCCACCCGACGCGGCGGTCACCCACCACCGGCCGCCATCCTTTGCCACCGGCCGCCGTGCTCCATCGACCGACGCCGGCCACCCTCCGCCGCGCCACCTCCCGCCGCGCCCCGCCGCTGCCACCGCGCCTAACGCCACCGTGCTCCGCCGCTGACCGCCGTGCTCCACTGCCTCCCGCCGCCGGCCGCCATCCTCTGCCGCCGCCGACCATCGTCCTCCGCCCCCCACCGCCACCTGCCGTCCTCCGCCGGTAGCCCAGAAGAGAGAAACTCGTCCATGGAATAGAAATGGATCATTCGCGCACTAAACGCGTTTCTATTTTTTTTCTATTCCAGGAATAGATTTTGTGCAGTTACTAAACGCTATTTTTGCTCAGAAACTGTTCCAAGAAATAGAAATAGAAAAAACTATTTCTGATCAGAAATTATTTCTGGGAACAGAAACGTTGCTATGCAGACCCTAAATGCGTCACACAGGTTATTATGTCACAAAAATATTTAGAGTAAATGCGTCACGGTGAACATAATTTGGAATTTTTGATTTCACAGAATATTTTTTGAGATAAATGTGTCACAGTAGACCTAGTTTGAAGTTTTTTTTATCACTTTTTCCCCAGGAAAAATACCACAAAAAATCCCAAACTATATCCATTGTGACACATTTACCCAAACATTTTTTTTTTACACAAAAAATCTCAAACTATACCCATTGTGACACATTTATCCTCTATTAGGGTTCGGTTAAAAATCTCCGTTAAAACTCTGATATGGCGCTTACATGGCGCTACATCAAGAAAATTTTTTTAAAAAAAGTTACTATTCATTGTGAGTTACCGTTCATCGTCTTCGAAGTTACTATTCATCACCTTCAACCTCGCGATCGCTCGACCAAAGCTCTTCCAGAGCTCGTCCGTCGCTGCCCACTGCCGCCTAGACCTTCGAGAGCTTCGTCGTAGTTGCTGATCATGGTGACCGCGAGCTTGAAGCTGGCAACCGCCATGGTCGCTCCGCTCGAGCTCGAAGCTTGGCCTGAGGGCGAAGCTTGGCCAAAGTGGATCTTCGTCTTCAACTTCGCATCGTCTTCCTCTTATTCGTTATCATCTGAACAAAGGGAGAGAGGCTCTCGACCAAGCTTCGAGCTCGAGCGGAGCGGGCCATGGCGAACAAAATAAAAGAAAAAATTATTTCAAAATATTAGAAATTTTGTTATTAAAAGATTATTAATAAAAAAGAAATTTTGTGCGGTTACTAAACGCATCTCTGTTCTTTTTTTATTCCAGAAATAGAAAATTTGGGCAGTCACCAAATCCCTTTAAATACTCAGAAATTATTTCTGAGAACAAAATCATAAAAAAAGATATTTCTGAGCAAAAATTATTTTCAAAAATAGCATAATTACCAAATGCTCCTTAAACCGTCAAGTCCCACTCCGTCGTCGTCGTCGTCGCTGCTTTTGATTGGACCCACCCACGAAACGCTCTTCCTAACATCATCCACAAGACATTTTCAAAAACTCCTCAAAACCAGTGCTACCCCTCTCTCTCTCTCTCTCTCTCCCTCTCTATCTCTGTGAGCGGGGCGTCCTCCCCTCGCCGCCGACACCGCAACGGTCCGCCGGAGCGCCGCCGCGGGGTTGCCGGATCCGGGCCTCGCTCCCCGCGCATCCTCTCGCTCTCGTTGGCGATTTCGGATCTCTGCGCACCGCTCCGTCGCGGGACTCGCGAGCTCTCCCCGCGCCTCGTTCTCGACCTTCGGTTCCCTCGCTCTTGCCTGTTGGTCCGCTTCGTGGTCGCGTTCCCCTCGAGGCCTGTAATCGGAGAGGTGCGCCGCTGATTTCCGGTCGGTATTCATTTTTGTCCGTGTTCGGGTAGTTCGGCGCGCCGCCCTATCCGGATAAGTCGCCGAGTAGATTTCACGGGATGAGAGTCGTAGCAGCATTCTTCCGTGCTGATTTCCGCCGCCGCCGTCTCGCGCCTTCCGGATTCCGATTCGTCGATCTGGATCGAGACGTTTAGGATTTTGTTCTCGAGCCACGTTCTCGAGTCGAGCATTCTTGGTTGCATCGTGGTCCTCTGGATGGTTTCGAGATATTTCCTGGGGCCAATTTCTTGCCCTAGTTCTTTTCGTATCCCGTGTTTGCTTGCTTGCTTGCTTGCATTCTCGAATCTCGCGTTTCCAGATTTTCTGTGGCTTGAGCTATTCGGACGCCGAGAAACTGCAGGAAAAAATGAGAGAAACGTCTTTTGCAGCCGCGGCTTCCTTTCGCCTGTTAGATTTGGATTCGGCTTTGATTGAACTCCTAGGCACACACTGTGGAGAGAATTTCTCTGTTCTGACACTATTTAGTCGGCAGAGAGTGAATTTGAAGAGGCATAAACGTGTTGTTTAGCTCGGAACATTGGGTTCTTCGCGGAATAGTTAGCACCGTACCGGTCGAGTAGTTGATATGCATCATGATTAATTATGTCTACAGAGACCTGCAAACTTTCGTCTCGGTTGGACTCTTATGTTTTGTGTGATTGGAGCTGAGCTGTTTTTGGTTTCTGCTCGTGTAGGTGTAGGTCCACAACATGATTGGATCCTTTCTTACCAGAGGACTTGTGTATGTATTCGGATCTTTCTTTTTTTTCTTTTTAGAAATTTGCTAAGGAGCTAAATTGGTTTGATGGTAGATGTTAACTTTGACCTCTTACTGTCTGTCAGATTGGTCTTTGGCTATGCCTATCCAGCATACGAGTGCTACAAGACGGTTGAAAAGAATAAGCCGGAGATCGAGCAACTGCGCTTTTGGTGCCAATACTGGTATCTCTCGCCTTACTGAGTTGCCATTTGTGTCTTCAATGTCTGTGGAAAGTATCGGTCGTGGTGATTCTTCTTGCTTGTGAGCTGCAGGATTTTAGTAGCTGTTTTGACGGTTGGCGAGAGAATTGGCGATACTTTCGTTTCATGGTAGGGAGTTGAGTCGGCATTGTGAATGCTTCTTTATACTTTGGCAGCAGTCACTGGGTTCTTATGCTGGTCTCAATTCTTCTCTTTGTTTCCTATCGAAGGGTTCCTATGTACAGTGAAGCCAAGCTGGCGTTCTTTATATATCTCTGGTATCCTAAAACAATGGTATGTAACTTTCTTGACATTGGTGACACGTTGCTTTTTGATTTCTTTCTCCATTTTCAATGACCAAGTCTGTCTTTGACCAATGATCACGTGGAGTCAAACTCTGTAGAACCTTATGTTCTTATCCTTCATGTGTGGTTCTGACAGGGAACAACCTATGTCTATGATTCGTTCTTCAGACCATATGTTGCAAAGCACGAGAGTGACATTGATCGCAACTTGTTAGAACTGAGGACTCGAGCTGGAGACTTTGCAGTTATGTACTGGCAAAGAGCTGCAAGCTATGGTCAGACGAGAGTTTTTGAGATTTTGCAGTACGTAGCTTCTCAGTCGACACCAGTGCCACGCCCTGCCCAGGTACCATGTGTAAATGCCCTATTGTTAATCTCAACAAGTTCTGATTCTGCAAAATTATGGAGTTGACAGTTTCTTTGGAGTTTGGACCTCATGTCCTAGTGGGTGATTACTAGGAAATGATGTCACACTCTCAAGTGTGAGAAGAGATGCTAGGATCCTTATATGTTTCTAAGGGGAACCACTGATGTGAGATTTCCCAAAGATTTTAGCAATACGTCATACTCAAGTTCGATGTAAGAAAACGTCTGACTTGCTTTGGTTAACTACATGAGATAAAGTAGGTGCTTTGATCTTCTAGGCAGTGGGTTAACCGGGCGAGTTTCTTTTCTTTCGTAGAAGACCGCAAGAGTTGTTTCTTTGTGTCTGAATCACGAACAGGCTGCTGATCCATGAGTTGTGGTGTTATCATAATATATTCTGAGACTGTTTTTACTTTAAACTTGCGAGATTAAAGTTAACCGGGCGAGTTTCTTTTCTTTTGTAGAAGACCGCAAGAGTTGTTTCTTTGTATCTGAATCACGAACAGGCCGCTGATCCATGAGTTGTGGTGTTATCATAATATATTCTGAGACTGTTTTAACTTGCGAGATTAAATCAGGAATCATATCAAACTACACAACATGCTTTTGTTTTAGGCAATAACTATCTGACATTGTAAGTTACAGCCACCACAGCAAGGTAATAGAACTCGCCCGGCGAATCGCCAACCTACTCCGAAAGTTCAGGTTGAGAATGAGGAGCCGCCATCCCCTACTTCAAGTACATCATCAATGCAGGAGGCGAAGGATGTGGCAGAAGTGGCAGGTCCTTCGAACGTGCCCAAAGCAGCTCCTCCTCCGTCAGCTCCTCCAGCTCCTCCAGCTCCTAAGACGGCCACTGTTTCAGAAGATGCCACCCAAGTGGCGTCCAGCGAAGCCGCAGATAAACAGATTGAAGCTCAGCCATCTACCTCGACCGAAAACGGCAATCCTGCCCCGAAAGAAACCGTGATGGAAGAGACACTCCGCCGGACACGCGGCAGATTGAGGAAAGCCCGTTCTGCCCCAGCCAGAAAGGAAACGGATTCGGAGACATCTTGATGTTGGCTTGCGAAAAGTAGAATTTAGTTTGGTTGATGGACCGTAACTGGTATTGGAACCAAATGATGTTGATATAAATTTGTTGTCCCATGTCTCTCATTCTTTAAATTGCCTTTGTTTTTGGACATCCCCCTCACCGATAAAAAGTAAAGGGGACTTTGATATTTTCCAGCGGGGTTGCTGACGCGACCAACGACCGGACCGGACCGGATCTCTTTTACTGATGTCACGGATGGTGCAATTTTAGCTGTCGGGCGGGTTGCTTCTCGTGACATTGTACGTACGAGGTTTTTGATCGATCTTTGCCGTGACTCTAGTTATGGTAGTACATTTTCGTACCCGAGAGAGCGCTTCCAAGGCGTTTGGTGTCGAAATGGGGAAACCGAAATGCTTCGCGATAGCTTAGTCAGGCAGGATAGCTTTATAGTTTGTAGTGGTTGTTGACTTGAACAAGTCGCATTCTGACCTGGAAAAATGATATTAGGAGCCCATGTCGTCAACTCAATCATTTACTGATTTGCATGTGAATCGAACTGGAATTTCTCACTAGTCCCAACATTTGGTCTTGTTTTTTCCCTTTTTTAGGTTGGTCGCTGTCTAGGCTGATGGGATTGCGATTGGGGTTGTTGAGCGCGCGCTTGCGTAGTCTTCCATTTTCCTAAGGACAAAAGCTACCAAAACTATAAATTATGCTCACTGTGACACAGTTACTCTAAATTTTTTTTGTGTCACAAAAATTTCAAACTTGTACTTACGTAACACATTTACCTTCTGTCAAAGACAACAGTTAAAAATCTGCCCATATGAACGCTAGAAAGCAAACAGTGCTAACATTACGCAATGAAATAAAAACGACGTTATTTTGATTGAAAAATCATCTAATGGAACCTCAATGGAGGAGGGTAAATGTGTCACATAGGTATAAGTTTTTGGTTTTTTATGTAACAAAAAAATTATGGTAAATGTGTCGCGGTAGGCAATTTTTAATGTCACAAAAGAAAATTCAGGGTAAACGTGTCACAGCGAACATAGTTTGGAGTTTTTGTGGCTTTTGTCTTTTTTAATCAACACTTTGAGCAAGTAGTCCATCAATTGGATCATGTAACCTTCACCAATAAAAGGGAAGATCAACCGTAGATGGAATTAGCTGCGGATGTGAAAACGTATACCAGGCAGCGACATAAATCTCACGAATCTCAGCTTAAGGGGGAGGGTCTCGTTATAAAGAAATTTTCTCATGAAATTTCATATGAATCGATATGAGATTTACTAAAATCACACCAAGCATTTAGCTGCTGGGGTTTTGAATTCTTGGATAATTAGAAAAATTAGTACGCCGTGGATAATTGAAATTGAGGGAGCACTTCTAGGCGCAGAACATAACCTTTATTTCTTGCTCGAAATACACCCGAAAATACATGATTCATTGGAGGAATACGGCTCGAATTCCACACCATACACATCAATCCAGCCACCAAATTAACAGTTCTCAGCATCTCACGTCCTTCTCTACGATCAAACACATTAAGAGGTTGTCCCCAATGGTTGAAGACAGAAAAATAATTTACATCCAGTCTCGGACCGATGCAACTTCTTGGTGATGCGAATGTCCCTTCCTCTTTGACAAAATCTCTCCGAGCAGAGGAATCAATGGCTTCTTCTTCTTCTTCTTCTTCGTCTTCTTGTTCCCTGTCGAAGGATGTCCCCGCCATACTTCGTCGTCGCTCTGCGGAGTCGGTGCTCGGTCGGCGAAGGTCACGTACCTTTTCTCACGAAAGCCCGCCTTCTCGTCGTCGTCGTCGTCGAACCACAGCGCTTCCGCACGCTCGGACTCAGTCGGAGCCTCGACGGACTTGACGTCTTTGACATCCTCCTCTTCCTCCTCTTCTTCTTCCTCCTCCTCTATCGATTCAGCCACCGTGTTGATGGGGTGCTTGTAGGATTGCTGCTTCCTGAGCCGCGCCAGCTCTTGCTTCGTGCGTTCGAGCTCTTGTTGTAGGGAGGAGAGGGCATCGGCCATTCGCACGCCTTCTTCTCTCGCCTCCTCGAGCCTCCGTTTGGCTTCTTCCAATTCTGCTGTGACTCTCCCAATCCTGGAGGCTCCTCCAATCTAGAAATGTAACGAATAATTTCTGGTTATTGTTCAATCTACTTGACCAATTATCCGATAGCAGAGTGACCCTATAGTGTTAGTGGAATTATGACACAACCTAGTCATGCATGCTCTACAAGTATGTCAATAAATATATAAAGATATACTTACATATATATCATTTAATATGTCAGATTAATGTATGTTTCACTTTATCTAGTGGACCCGATATGGTCGCCAAAGGATAATAATGTAAATCAAAGACAGTCCACTTGGAACAATTTTTTTTGTAAGGTACGATTTAGATGCTTGCTTCTAATCGCATCCACTTCTTATCAACAGGGACCCGTAAAACTGAAAGCCAAAGTGATTATTGATCCCCTAATAAAGTTCAAGTTTAGTATCATTCCATGTCTTGCTGGAATGATGAAATCCAATTGAAGCGAATACTCTATGAAAAGTTGGCTAATAATTGTTACTTTAATTACGCGTCGCGCTACATCGAGAGATGATTGTGAATTTATTGAAAATGACGGACAATGATCATTGTCATTTCCTGTTGTTTAATCCCTCTCGAAAGAATTCAAAGCACCAAAAAAATGTCACCATCGAATCAACACGGCAATCAGTGACTAGATATGATAATAACATTAGAGCCAGCTTAAAGTAGAAGAAGCACTTATGATGTGTGATAAGTAATTAGACATGAGACCAGGCAGAAAGTGACAGTAGTTTGTGAGCAAATCACTGAATGAGAGTGCGACATGTTTAACAGGCAGCTCTGAACTCACGTCTTTGGTTTTGTTACCGACGTAGACCTCCCCGGATAAAACCCGCTCGCCGAACAGCGAGACCGCCTCTCTCACTGACCGGAAAGGTGGTCTCGTGTCGATCTCCGCCCTTTCATTTTCTCCTCCAGAGTCCATGAATGCTGAGCGCCCGTGTGTCAGAGAGAGAGAGAGCTGGTGAAAGGTGGCAACAAGGATGAGCTTTTTATTAAGATCTTAGAGAGAGAGAGAGAGAGAGAGGTGGGAGGAGAAAAGGAGAGAACGGTGGTTGCAGGCTGTGGGGAGAGAGATTTGGTCAAGGCAAGAGGGAGCAACAAGAATATCAGGAAGAGAGGCTCCTTTTCTTGGCGTCCACTTCACTGGAATTCTGTTAAAATTTTCCTAAGGTGAACAGAGCTGGTGGGTCAAATGTCGTCTTCATCTTATGGATCTCTGGTGGGCTCTTCGTCAGCTCTATGTATGCATGTATATATGGAGTATTTCCTTCAGTAGTCGTGGTGATTAAGTGCATGATCTTGCCTTACAGAGGGAACCCTTACTGCTACTTGGTGTTCAGGACGAGCACTTTCATCTTTTATTAAGTTTTTCTTTTTGCAGCGACGAAAAACACCTTTTTAAGTGCTCAAGTTATGGTCTTTTTTTGTTCGTCTTTCTTTTCCTTTTTGCCGTCAAATGGTAACTTGTTCATATCATGGATTACCAATATTACCAATAGCAGAGTTCCGCACTCGCTTTGTAACACAATATTTGGATCATTAGAGCCGTTTCCGAGACCTAAACTCGGTGAAGAGGCTCTAAAAGCACGGGTTTTTCGAAGTGGTCGAGCACGTCATCATAACTCCACCAAAATGCTAGCAAGCCTTTGTGGGGCACATGAAAAGCGAATCTCTCTTGCCTTCGGCTTTCCTTAAGTTAGCTTCCCTTAATTCAAGAGTAATAGAAAGAAATATCTAGACATCCCATCATTAAGTGCAGGGATCCAATACATTTGCTATGGCCAATCTGCATCCTCTCATGGAGTGGATTGGAAGGATTCTCTGGCATTCTCCACTTGCTAAGGCCAAAAGGAGAGCGACGTCTCAGCTGAAGCAGCTCGACTATCGTCACTCGATTCCTCGTACTAACTTCAACTCGTTTCAGCTTCCGGCTTCTAGCTCGGTAAACAAATATGCCCTGTATGTTTTCATTTTCCCCTGAAAATATGATGCTTCGTGCTAAATTTCAATGGGGTTTTAACAAGTGAGAATCATACAATAAATTTCCTTCGGCGACAAAAGTGACTTATGATGTGACGTGATACCTTTCAATGGATCTGACAAGTGAGACTCTTACGACATGCGATGTTTAGGCATGATTTTTTTGTTATCTGAAGAAGCGACGAGATGCCCACACAAGCTCTCATTCCTCTCGTTTCTCACTTGATTTGGTGAAGAAAAGGCAACTAAGGGGTTATCTTTTGCTATCTTTGAATCTGCTTTATTGCGGCACTCATGAGCAGTTTTTGTGCCAGACTTTACCCTTTCTTCCAATCGAGCCTCGTAGAAAATTTTCTTTAAGGTGCACGCCAGAGGTGCCCGTGAAATGTCGATCCAGGAAATGCTCAAGCCGGTACCAGTCAAGCCCCGGACCCGAGCTCTGTCGGGAGCATCCACTACCATATCACTTCCTAAGAATGTTAGGCCTACTATATGCCACCTCTTCTCATCGTAATTCATTACCATGAGGAACGTAGCTTTTAAGTCCCTAATCGAAAGCTGACTTCGAATCCTCCCCGCCGCCGATACGGCAATCGTCATCAAAACATACACATGTGAAATATATGAAAATTCAATCGTCATCTAAATATATACATGTGAAATATACCTAAGGTTTTGCAAAAGGAAATGTCCTACCGTTTAACTATTGAAACTTCAAGCTCTCTACTAAAGACTCCATACAAGCAATTAAGCATTTGAAGAATCGTTCCTCTTCCCTCAAGTCTTCCTCCAGCTTTTAGTACCTCTAACAAAGTATCAACACCTGAGCCAGAGTGCCTGACCTGTACATCACATGTGGAAGAACAGGAACAAAATGGCTCTATATGTAGATGAGATTAACTAAAGTTCGCAGAAGCTGTCCATATATAAGAGAGAAACTGTAGCTTCTCCCTCAGCCCAACGAGTTAAGAACTCAAACACCAAGAGATGGATCTATTCAGGGGTTGAGCCACCACTTATGCGTAGAAATATCTCGCCGATGAAGCCTCGAGTTTCCTCCAATCAATCTGCACTTCTGCGCATCTTATAAGAGTTGAGTTATGAATGGTGTCTTCATTGATTATGCCCCACTTGCATACAAGTGCGTCCTCGTTCTTCACCGCTACTTCAACTGGTCAATGATGGCCACCAATCAGAGTCCAACACACATTGTCCATGGGAGCTCAATTTCGATTTGCTCATCTCAAAGTTGAAGAGCATTCAGCAGCTCAATTCAAAGCCGCACACCTCACTTCAAAGGTGCTCGTTGCATAGTAGCTGCAATGGCAATGAGCCACCAGTGTAAAACCGGGCCGTGGTTTCTTGGTAAACAGAGTGGGGATGGTGGTCTTGCCTTTTCATGCCATGATGAGGCATTGATGAATTAAGGGAAGGGAGCTGGTGATGAAGATGATTCGGTATGGGAGTGTATTTAGGGCCGAGTACTTCGAGTGCAGAAGGTGAAGGAGGAAGGACTGCTTGAGGACGTGGGATCAGGGTAGGACACCCTCGTATTCCACCTTGCCAACTAGGATACTGAGCCATGGTCTTGGAATTAGCCACAGCCACAGGCTTGCACTGAGCCGATACTTGGGCTGCCCAAAGCAGCTGTTGATGTTGCTGTTCCTTAGCCGAAACCATTGTCCCATTAAGCACAGACGGAGATCCAGAACTGCCAAGGAAGCCAGGTAGCTGCATCTGGCCCTAGAACAAAATTGCAAGCTCATTGTTGACATGTTGTAATGCGATTATAGACAATGGATGAAGGTTCCCAGCAAGAAGCAAACCTGCTGCAATGCTACTCCTGAGAGCTGGTCGCAGTAAGCAGACAAATAATGATTTTGACCCATGGAGATATGTCGTTGAGTAAGAGAATCAACATAAGGAAAACTCAGTTGGGGCCGAGCCTCTGACTTGTCTACTCTTCCAGCACTACCACTGGTATTCCTGAAATTGACCCCACCACCTCCAGCCGACAGAGACAGGAAATCGAAAGCCTGCAGAGACCGATCAGGAATAAGGACGGAGGGAAAGAAGAAAAAAAATGGAAAAGGTAAATGAAAGAAGACATGACGAGCTGACCAGCTTCTCCGATTTGGGGAATATTGAAGGTGGACATGCGACCTGCCTATCTTGAGTGTGGTTCTTTGGCAGAAGTGTAACACTTCTAACCTCATCAAGTCTCCTTTTAGTGTCCGACTCTATGCCAGCAGCGGAAAAGACTCCACGAAACCCATTAAGGCTGATTTGGGCAAATTGTTCCTGCTTCCTGTCTTTGTCTTGTTTTATTTGCTTAGGCTGTAGCAGGCTGTCTTTACTCTCTTCCGTTTGTAATAGCCGAATGAGATGACATATATGCACATGAGTTGCACACCTCTTCCAAGGCCTTTTATCAACCAATGTCTGGAAAACCTGTGAAACATACATCATTCAGTTAATTAGCGAATTACACCTAGGAAGCAAATGAGATCAATGTAGATGATATGTCCTTTTTCACCTTTTGGGTTGACAAGCATGTATCCACTGAGCCTGGCTTCGTAGAACAGACAGCAGCGTCCAACCAGGGAGGCATCTTGACCGGACGAGACCTGTGTGGTGAAAGAGAGAATGAGAATGGAAGAGTCATAGACAAGAGAATGGAAGAGAAACTGATGGAAAGATGTGGATTGGGAAGGGCCCAAAATAGAAAAGGTAAAAGAACTCACTGCAAGAGAATGTTGGCCTCACTCGACATTGTAGATGACGCGCACAGCGACCAGGTGGTACCTTTAATCACAAAACCAACTACTAATTCCCATTTCGAAAAGCTCAGTTAAAATTACTAAACAAGATAGCGAGACATTCACAATCCTACATACAATCATTCCTCGAGTCCTTGACCATGTCCCGGTGCTCCAATTGGTTTACAGTAATTGATGCCTGAAAATGTAATTTTGTTGTCACTCCATTTTCATCAAAATTCTCACTATAGAAAGATCAAATGAGATCATCATGCTCACCAGGGGGTAATTATTTTCTTGCTTCCCTAGAGAGAGTGAGCAAGCCATCTCATCAGACTGCTTAAACCTAAGAGTATAAAGAAGAATTTCAGAATGGAGAGAGACAGAGAGAGAGAGCTATAATTAGCTGGAATACATCTTACCTATAGGCAAGGCCAAACTCGGTTGTGAAGCCCAAACCACAAGCACTGTGCGATTTCTCATAGCTTTGTTCACTCTTAGACCACAGAGGTGTTTGTTGTAGTTTAGCTTCAGTAATACTTTTTGAAACATCAAGGTGGTCTGCGCTACCTACCAAAACATGCTGTTCATTCAAATTAGGTTCACTCAAAGAAATGGCTTTTGTGGTTTCTTTAGACGATTTCTCGTCATTATCTCCAGTAGCCAGGATATCCGAGTTCAACTCTCCCTGTGCAACTGTGGAATTTGGTAAATGGCATATCAGTAAATGCATTAAAAGATAAAATAATCTAAAGACGCAGGACAAGATTATTATGGCGAACCTTTTGAGAGTGTTGAACTTTCTGTAACTTCAGGCACAGCTCCCCCACAACCATCTTTCAAAGAATCGCCGCCGGATGTGTTGTCATTAGTGGCATTGTTGGGAGATATACCAGCCAATGCATACAAGGCCTCGGCCACTTCCTCCTCATCTTTCGTGATGGACCCAGAAACAGCGGCTCTTGGGGACCAGCCTGAATTTCTTTCCTTCTGCAACAATAGTATCCGCTATACATGTAATTGGTCCCAAGAATCTATGGTCGCAAATAGAGCAAAGTATGCAAAAGAATCCATAGAACCAACTTCGAGGGGTAAGGAAAAGTGATTGTTCTATCTGGTCTTCAACTAAGTTCTCAACAAAAGAAAAAAGAAAAAAAAAAAGAAATACACTAGATTTACAGCTCACTTTGAATCTCTTTACGCCATTCTTTTTGTGCGATTCGCCTCCACGTACTGAATGGCTCGTCTTCTTCGAATCGGGCAAAGTAGGAGAGAGAGATTGACGGTTGCGTTTCTTCATGGCTGTGAATGCAAAGCAAAGTTATCCACATAGCAGATGCCTCAGATATCAATCAAGTGAGGTCTTTCCTTCACTTTCCTATTCATCTCAAAACTTTTGTGCTCCATGGAAAAGAAAAGGTCATCTTCCGGGGGGGGAAAAAGTAAGTTCAGATGCAGAAAAGAAGACAAATCCCAAACGTTACACCATCATTTTTAAGAGCATCAATGTACTTAAAAAGTCGCAGCAAAGAAAATAGTAAATTACTAAGTGACTAGAGAAAGCACGCAAGAATCTTGCGTCCATTAAAAGAAACAAAAAGGGCAAAAGAGGGAAAGGCCAAAAAAACAAATAAAGAAGAAGCTTTCAATTTTGCTTCAGTTCCAATCCATCAAACTCGAGCGCACAAACAAAAGCGAGAAACTTCTCACAAGACCCACCTAAAGCAAACTGAATTTAAACACCAACTGGGGTCTCCAAGCAGTTAATGTGAAGCATAATGGCACAACCAATCAATTAATACGAACAAAAAGATAGGGGCAAAAGAGAATATGAGAAAAACCAACGCAAAGGAAGCAAAGACAAACGCTTTTATGGCTCGCCGGCAAAGAAACGTAAGGAAAGGAGCACACCTGACCGGAGCTTCCGTGGAACAGAGGCTTTGTCGACGGCATTGCAGTCGCCCAACAACTGTACGTCCGACCACATTTTAAAGACGTCAATCGCCACACGATTCGACACGAATTTCATAATTTCGAATTGAAGAAACGAACACGAGCCGACGGCCCATTTCACTTTCGCATGCATTATTTCACAAATTCTCGAGCAGGGGCAGGGAAAATGAAAAGAGAAGACGATGATGAAGAGGGAACAAGAACTATAACAGCAGCTTCGAGATGGACAGGCACCTTTCTGGGAAGCTTCAATTTCTTCGCAGCAGCAACAAATTCGACCCCATCTTCTTCTCTGGGGGACGCACCAGAGCCCTTCTTCATTTTAGTGTCCACGAAGCTCCCACTCTTCTCGCAAACAGAGCTCAGCTTCTTGAGCTTCTCTCTCTTCGACCTCTCCAAAGCTACAAGAAAAGGAAAGCACCCCACCACCACCACCAGATAACAAAAACGAGAGAGCATTATCTTAGCAAAAACCTCTTATCACCGGACCGGACACGAGTCTACTCAGAACTGAAACGACAAAAAACGCCACGAACAAATGGCAGTTCTGTTTCTACGCGAGAAAAGGACATGTAAATTGCTTGGACCAGAAATCTGGCAGTTTAAAAATATAACAACACGCCAAATCTTAACGAAAGCGAAAACAAAAGAAAGAGAATAAAATTTCTCGTTATTATCAATTGGAGGGGATTGGAATTTACCAGAGGAGATATTATTGTTGTCGTTGGTGTGGGTGCTATGGTGAGTTCTGAGAGGTTGGCCATCGAAGTGTCGCTTTGCAGGCGAGGACCGACTGGCTTTACGCATCACGTCGCGAGTCTTGTCCATTTCTGAGTCGACCGCGAGTGAGACAATAACGACAGTGCTCTCATTTAATTTGTTCCTGCTCTCTCTCTTTTTCTCTTTCCTTTCCTTTCCTTTCCCCTGATTTTAGCGAAAGCGGCTTCGTTGGCTCACAAGAAGTTGTCGCGTCTGAGAAACGACCCCAAGAGCTGAACGACCCGGAACCAGATCTACCGCTTCGCTTCGCTCCTCTGCTTTGTTAACAACTATGCGACTCTGAAAAGCAGGAGTTGCAGATCAGAAGACCGGAGTTTTTCCATAAAGAGTTTCATGAAAAGCATAAAAGGAAGAAAAATGTGAATACAGAGCAAAAGTGTTGGCTTTGGCACCGAGGGAGAGAGAGAGGGAGAGAGGGAGTAAGCGAGAGAGAAGTACTGAAGCGAGAAGCAGTGCATATTAACTGGAGAGAAATGCTAAAAAGAAGCAAAATGGTAAAGATGGGCCAAAAAGAAGAGCAACTCGTTCCTCGTGTTCTGAGAATCTGATTCTTCCAGAGAGAGAAGAGAGAGACAGAGAGGTGGAGAGAGGGTAAAAGGGTTCATTCAGTAACCATTCGTACACAAAACGCCAAAAAAGAGAGGAAAAAAAGAAAAGGGAGAAAAACAGAAGATGGGGTTGCTCTCAAGATACTCGTGAAGAAGTAATCTTGATTCATGCAAAAACTCCGGGACGTACAGAGAGAGAGAGAGAGAGAGATCGTCTGAAAGACCCTTATCTCTGTCTTCCAAATCAATCCCCTTGATGGTTCACAATTATGAATGTGGGATTTCTCCCCCCAATCAGTCGCAGTCCCCACAGGTTGGTGCATCAGACCCGAGAACCCACCCCAATAATTTAATTCGCACCACAGACAGATTCCCACCATACAAGAAGAAGAAGAAGAAGAAGAAGAAGAAAAACATGGCAAGAGCAAAAATGCTGAGTTCTTTAGAACAAGAACTGGTTTTGATTCAAACCCAGAATCAAGAAACAGAAGAAGGAACAGAGCAGTGAGCCTGTGGACGCGAGGTGGAGGAAGAGACGGGTACAGCCCTCCTCTTCCCAAGAGCCGAAACTGATGGAAATTCTCTCTGATCCGCGAGAATTACTCACCCCAAAACTCAACTCTCTCCCTCTCTCTCTCTCTCTCTCTCTCTCTCTCTTCTTCTCCTTGCACAGCGAACGCCCACCCGACTCGCTCGCGCTCTACATAAAACCTCGCTTCAATGCATTCACCACCAAAAACGGCCTCCTGCCATAAATCTCGCATTCGCATTTACCTACGCAACTGCAACTTAACCCACCGTCTTCATTTCGCTTCTTCACCCCGCAAGATCAACGGCCCCTGCAGATCCCTCTCCCTCTCCCTCTCCCTCTCCCTCTCCGTCGCTCGCCGCCTCGTCGGCAGCAGCAGCAGCGGCGGCAGAAGCACCAAGAAATCCGACGCGCCGGCCACGTCGGACGGGCGAAGAAGCTCCCGCTCGCTCGCACCAAGAAACGCCGCCGTTGCGCCCCCCTCGCCTTTTGTCGCTTCCGCCCAACGTCCTTTTGTCTTCCGCTTCGTAACGTGTCCAGTTCGCGGTCCATGCAGGGAGTCACACTCGCTCGCACCACATCCTGCCCTGGATTTTGGGGGGAGGCCCGGATCCGGTGCGGGCGTGCTTAGCTTTTCCTGGACGGACGGTTTATCTGAACCTTTCGGGGGGCGATCCGACTGAGATCTCGGGGGTTTTGCCCCCATCGGACGGCGTCGGTCGAGGATCCCTAGATGCTTGCCACGTGGAACGTGCTCGAGTAGGACGAGGAAAATGTGGGTTAGACTTTCTAGACCAATTATTACGCGGCAACGAATATAATGACCCGACAAGGGTGGCGAGACTTTTCGCGAGATCACAAATTCGATTTACATTATCAGCGATGCTTTCAACTGCTGGTACCGAATTGCTTTGACTGTAATATATCTTGTGCGAAAAGACTTCCTTACTTAGTCGTGGCAACTGGCTCACCAATCTCAATTTTTCATTTTTTCTTCTTTTTTTTTTCCTTTTTTGTTGTGTATAGTGTGGAGTAGTTATTACTAAAATCGAACATTTCGCAACGGACGTGGAATCCCTATGATAATGCTCGGAAAAATGTTGGTAGCGCCGGTCGTTCTTCTCCGCCATTCTACATGAGAAAATCATGAGAAATGGAAGGTTTGTTTTAGCAACAAAAAAAAAAAAGGCATGAGAAAATCACATCGCCAATGACCCTATCCCATATTTTAAAACGTGATAAAAATTGGTGGAGTACAACAAGCCTAGATGATAATGACTCGAATCAACATAATAAATGCCAGAGCGATGCCGGTGCTGAAATTCATAATTGGACCCGGTGCTTAGAGCATACCCTAGGCCAACCTACTTCATAAGTTTTTTTAGCAATATAGAGCTTTACTATCTAAGGAATGGTAAAACCACCAAGCATTGGTACTCTCTAGTGTAGGGAGGAACGCGCATACTAATTTTCTAAGAGGTAGAGAGCATTCGAAAGGTGGTAGACTTGATCGGGCTGGATGAGCTCAGAAGTACCGAGTCCAAGAAGGAAATAGCTTATCCAAATCTATGCACTTTGCCTTTCAGATGGACCAAGCCGCCCCTTCATTGATTTGATAAATTTCTATAGGGAAAATGATACAAATAGTCCCTGAACTTTGATCCAATGGGCAATGTGGTCCCTGAACTTTTAATTTATTCAATGTGGTCCCTAAACTGTAACCCATTGTGCAATGTGGTCCATGAATTGTCAATTTATTCAATGTAGTCCCTGGACTTTTTATACATATTCAATTTAGTCATTGAACTATATGAAAATGTTTAATATTGTCCCTGAACATTGAACATTTTCATACTGTTCGGAGACTAGATTAAACATATATCAAAAGTTCATGAACCATATTGAACAAATTGAAAGTTCAGAACGAAATTGCATATTGGGCTAAACTTTAGAGATCACATTGCACATTTGACCAAAGTTCATGAATCATGCGTGTCATTTTTCCATTTCTATATTAATGTATAAGCAATTTTTTTACCAATTTCCGCGCGCGCGGAGTAGCGAGCGTGAAAGAGAGAGATTGCGGTGGCTCTCAGTGGCACGCCAGTACAAACGAGTCCGGACGGCCGATGGGGGCGATCAATTATATGGACAGGGGAAATAATTCCACATGCAGCTCGGCGCGGGCAGGCTCCCTCACGTTTCGTGCGCGACCCCATGAGTAGGTTACTCTTTTTCCATTCTCCTGCGTGATTACACACCAGATCACGATGCATGTACCATCAGCAACACTACGAGGCTACTAGGGGATTAGAATAATCCTAATTATGCTCTCTTCTTCCAAGGCAAGCACCATGATTAATTAACATGGAACGTTAATGTCGGGAGACCCGAGCTAAAATTCAGTTCGATCGGTTAAATCGCACGTTCATCTAATAACTTGAATTTTAGAACAGTTGACGGTAGCCCCACATGAAATCTCACGTGATATCATAGCAGGAGGTCCATGATTCAAATCTTTCCGGACATTTTATTTGCCTCCTCATTATATACTTCCACGCTAGGTAAGAGGCCTACGTCCAGCTTAAGTGCGAGAGGGGGTGTCAGAATATTTAGATACTAAACCTCAGTTTGTTTTGCATTGTTGATTAATCATTTCGATCGATAAATACAGTTTTCTAAATCATTTATTTTCTGCGAAACAAATGGAGCCTAAATGCCTATAATTCTCCGCGTGAGTACTTTTTTATGATATTGAGGATTGAAGAATCTCCGAAGGTGATTAATGTTGAAGGTTCCGTTTTATTGCCCGGTTTATAAACGTTCTTGATGTTAAACCTTGTGACCTCTAGAGTTCACATGGTTAGATAAATGAAAAGGCCCACGATTGGCATATAAGCATAGTAATTAAAATAAAGTAACATGAAATTCATTCTACATATATCATATAATCCAGTTAAACTCGCATACTCTAATAAATTGCTCATGAAAACTTTTTAGGGAAAATTGTCAACTAGTCCTAAACCTATTGTACGGCGGCCAATTCAGTCCTAAACCTTTTAATTTTGCCAATTCAGTCCTAAACCTTTCTAATTCTTGACAATTCAGTCCTTCCGGCCAATTTTGGCCGGCCGGCGCTGACGTGGCAATTTTTTATTATTAGTTTTTTTCAATTTTTTAATCTTTTTTTTTATTTTTTTTCTGATTTCTTCCTCTGGCCGGTCCGGCGATCGGCGGCCGACCAGAAGGGAGACCCGGCAAGGTCGACCTCGCCGTGTTGAGGCGAGGCCGACCTCGCCGTCTTGGTTCGCGACGGCGAGGTCGGCCTCGCCTCCACCGGGCGAGGCGAGGCCAAGCACGGCGAGGCCGACCTCGCCGTCGCCCGGGTCGCGACGGCGAGGTCGAGCCTTGCCGGATCCGGGCGAGGCTCGACCTACCGTCGCGACCCAGGCGACGGCGAGGTCGGCCTCGCCGCCGCCGGGCCTCGTCTCGCCCAGAGCGGCGAGGCCGACCTCGCCGTCGCTTGGGTCACGAAGGCGAGGTCGGCTCGCCGCGCCGGGCCTCGCCTCGCCGTCGCCAGTTCGCGACGGCGAGGTCGAGCCTCGCCGGATCCGGGTGAGGCTCGACCTCGCCGTCGCGACCCAGCGACGGCGAGGCTCAACCTCGCCGTCGCGACCCAGTGACGGCGAGGCTCAACCTCGCCGTCGCAACCCGGGCGACGGCAAGGTCGGCCTCGCCTCGCCGTCGCGACCCGGGCGTCGGCGAGGTCGGCCTCGCCTTGTTGGGCCTCGCCTCGCCCAGCGGCGGCGAGACCGACCTCGCCGTCGCTCGGGTCGCGACGGCGAGGTCGGCCTGCCATTGTCGCCTGGGTCGCGACGGCGAGGTCGGCCTCGCCACTTGGGCCTCGTCTCGACGTCGCCTAGTTCGCGACGGCGAGGTCGAGCCTCGCCGGATCCGGGCGAGACTTGACCTCGCCGTCGCAACCTAGGCGACGGCGAGGCCGACCTCGCCGTCGCTTGGGTCGCGACGTCGAGGTCGAGCCTCACCGAGATCTAGGCGAGGTTCGACCTCGCCGTCGCGACCCAGCGACGGCGAGGTTCGACCTCGCCGTCGCGACCCAGCGACGGCGAGGTCGGCCGCCGCCGCTAGGCCTCGCCTCGCCGTCGCGACCCGGGCGTCGGCGAGGTCGGCCTCGCCGCCGCCGGGCCTCGCCTCGCCCAGCGGCGGCGAGGCCGACCTCGCTGCCGCCCGGGTCGCAACGGCTGAAGTCGAGCCTCGCCGCATCCGGGCGAGGCTCGACCTTGCTTTCACGAACCAGGCGACGGCGAGGCTCGACCTCGCCTTAGCAGCGGCGAGGCCGGCGAGGTCGACCTCGTCGGCCCTCCCCTCTGGCCGGCCGCCGATCGCCGGTCGCCGGACCGGCCAGAGGAAGAAATCAGAAAAAAAAAAAAAGATTAAAAAAAGATTAAAAAAGATTAAAAAAATTGAAAAAAATAATAAAAAATTGCCACGTCAGCGTTGGCCGGACGGCCGGTGGCCACGTCAGCGCCGGCCAGCCAAAATTGGCCAGAAGGACTGAATTGGCAAGAATTAGAAAGGTTTAGGACTGAATTGGCAAAATTAAAAAGTTTAGGACTGAATTGGCTGCTGTACAATAGATTTAGTACTGATTTGACAATTTCCCCAAACTTTTTATTTATGGATTGGACATGACAAAAGACTAAGATCCATGAGGCAAAAGTTCAGAGACTTAACAATACATGAACAAAAACAGAAACATTTTCGCAGGCGAAGCTACTAGGGGCATTTACGCCTGCCTCCATGCATGGGTGGTCACGTTGGCATAGCAAGGGCAGGCGTCGTTGTCGTCGGAAGTTCCCGGCGGCATGCAGTCGCAGCGGACACAACAAGTCCCGCATGCCCTCTTGCACAGGCATGGCCGTGATGACAGTTGGCACCGAGCAACGCAAGCTCCCCCGCAATCATGAAAAATACAAGAAACACTAAGCTTAAAGTGAACAGGTAATTCGGAGTTCTAGCATTGAGGTTGATTTAAAATGTGATTGTGTCTCCTACCTATATGCGGAGGTGAAGGAGCTGGTGTGTCGGCTGTGTTCAACTGAATCACCTAACGAAAGGAGAATTTGATCAGAGCATTACTGGAAGCTCAAAACAAAACAAGTGCATTCAATGTGAACCGACCTTCAAAGATGGTTGCAAAGTAGCATTCAAAGCAAAAAAAAAAAAATAGAAAATTCGCGGTATGTTTTACCCTATAATCAGATTCAGCTTGATGGGTTAAGAGAAGAGAGAAGAGCAGCAACGTTGTCCAGACCCTCAACAACGCCATTAACTTCGAGTGTAATGTGGTGTGGTTGGAATTCAAGAAAGGAGTTCTATTTATAGATTGAGCACTCAAGAGAGAAGAGAGAGAGTTAGGTTACTTCTTTAGCGAAAAGTGATTGATGTGTGTCTAATTACGAAAGGGGGTTGGGAGTGCACAGCAGAAAGTGTGAGCTCGGTGTTAGGTTTGCTCGTCCCAAACTCGAGTTCGTTAATATATTCAGTTGGATTCACCTTCACTTAAAAATTTAAGCTAATGAATTATCAAGTGATTATGATACATCAATTGCTCCACGCTATACCAAATTCTCCAATGTGGGGTTCGTTTTAATACTTCTCACACGTATGTTTCAACAATAATAACCCAATGATATGATGCCAAGTAAGCATTTGCCAAATGCATGTGGCTTGTCTGGTGTGGATCATATTTGAGCTGGCGTTTCGGCATTTGGAACTCGGACTTAGACGTTATCATTTCACGATGGATTTTCAACAGAGAAGTCCGTGTATTGCGCAAAGGAGCAGAACGAATATGAAGCTTAAAGGCCAAAGAAAAAGGTGAGGGAGCTTTCATTCCTGACCAAGGCCTATCCGAGATGAACATGAAGATGGCAAAATGCAATGCCTGATACGTCGGAACCGCATGAGATGCGAGATAGAGATCAAAGCATCCACAAGGAACAGCTCCGCTCTAGTTAATGGAGGAACGACGGAGTTGGATCAGGGAAAGAACGTGTGCAAGCGAAGAAGAAACATCAGTTCGAAGAAGAATTGAGATCTTTGACTCATGGAGCACAACGCTTCATCCTTCCATGTCCCACATCAGACATGAACCCCAGAAAGGATCGGAAATGGTCTACCTTCTTCCTGCGCCTTCTCAAGAAATGAACAAAAAATTATTTCACGCACGGCCCTCTTTCTTATGTTTATTGGTTAAAATCTTATCTATCGATGTTCTGGAATGCTTGTCAAGTCTTCTTGATGAGATAATATTATGGTACTCGATACATTAATTTGTCATCTAAACATTTCAGTTCGAGAGATTCATAAATGCATGCAAATCATGTTGTCCACGTGCATTGAATAAGGCCCAACTTGTATCGTGATGCTCACAAGATTACTATGAGAATGAATTAATGTGATCTGGATATAAGAGTTGACATATTTGCATCACACATTTAAGCGCTTGGTCAACATTTTCAGCTGATTACGGTAGATATTTTCCCATTTATTCAATCCGCAATACATGCTTTTAAAATTGAAGAGCTATAGCTAACTAGATAGATAGTACGCACACGGACCATATAATTCCTTTTTTTACTTATTTCAATCGGTGGTATTCTTTTTACTGTATAACTAATTGCTCATCTCAACTGTAAGAGATGAGAGTGATATGTCGAAAAAAATTTCACAAGTTCTGTTTGTAATATTAACCCTAAATAGAATATATTCTTGTAAAGGGTGTCTGAGTGGTTAAATGTTCAGTTTGAATGTTGCAGATTATTCATTCAAATCACAATATCTCTCACTCATATTAACTTTCATGGCCAGACCCCTCGGAGACTTGCTTTATGCACGTGCACGGGATAATTTACATGTATTAATAAAGACAAAAGGTTAACGAAGTAAAAAATATATTACTTGGGACATTCTTCACAACAATACCTTGTAATTAGACACATAACCATTTCTTTTTTTTGGCCAATCAAGAGTTCATCTTTTCCAATATGAACTCTTGAGGGGCACAAGTATGGAAACCCGGCTATCTAAAGGTTTATAAAGCACTTTGTAAATCTCATAAATTGTATCAATTCTTACATGTAATTGACATATACACATGCTCAAACAAAATTAACTATAATCTTCTAAGATCATCCTACTAATGCCATTAAACAAGAAGTTTTTTGTGTCATTGAATTCACGGTTCGTGAAATGATTATTGCAGTGTCCACAGTTGTTACTCATCCAATACGCTGATACCCTCTGATTTCTCATACGCGAATACCAATGCAAGAAAGAAGAGAATCAAAATGTTTCAATCAACATCTCTAACATTAGATCTACTAATGAGCAGACAAGTCATGGGCTCGAAAGTTCAATTTGGACAAGCCCTAGGCCAGGCACGGCACTCGGTTATAAAGCCTGGTTCAAACCAGTTGTGCCCGAGCTAAGCCCGTCTTGCAAAGAAATGATACTATGAATCTTCAAAATGATTTACAGGTTACAGCAACAAATTAAGTTTGTATTTATTAAAAAGTCCAATACAAAAGTTAATCTGATGTGGGAAAATATTTAAATGTCCCTCTCATGTGCAAGCCGGAATAGGAGCGGCACGCGAAATTTGACTGATGGGGTATGGACGCACATATGTGAAAGAGATAACACTGATTCTGATACTATGTTAGAAAGCCTAACCCGTAAACTTAGCTGATAGGTAGAGCATATGTTATAAAGCGATATGAGACAATATTTTAATAGTATCGAATGCGTGATTTGATCTATCTCTGCTCATAATATTTTTCCAAATTAAAAAATGACCTCATATGAAGAAAATAGCTTAGCTAAATCTATCCAATTTGCCTTTCAGATTGACTGAGCCGCTCTCCCATTGATCAGGTTCAGTGGTGTCTGTGAAATTTCTGTAATGACATCTGAGCAAAGTGCGGCTCACGTGTCATGCGCGAGTGATGAGCAGTTGTTCTTTTTCACTCTCCTGCCTGATTAAACCGAGATTATGCGACTCTGTAATCACATTATAATCCTATCAGCAACACTTCAAGACTAAAATTACAAGAACCCAATCTTGCTCTCTTATTCCAGGGAAAGCCCCATGATTTATCAATATTAATAATCATTGCCATGAAAGTTGATTTATGGATTGGACATGACAGAAGTCTTTATTACTGAGATACGTCAGGCAAGACTGCACATACTTGGCAATACACTACCAAAATAGAAACATTTTTCGCAGGTGAAGCGAAGTCGATGATGAAACCCTTCTAGGGGCATTTATGCCTGCCTCCATGGGTAGTCATGTTGGCATAGCAAGGGCAGGCGTCATAGTTGCCTGAAGTTCCCGGTGGCACGCAGTCGCAGCGGGCGCAACAAGTCCCGCATGCCCTCTTGCACAGGTGTGGCCGCGACGATAGTTGGCACCGAGCATCACAAGCTCCATTGCAATCTTGAGATGCACAGAAAAAGAAAAAAAGCTCATAATGATCATTATTTCTTGGAAGAGGAAGATGGATTTTTTACTTCTTTCATTTAATTTCCTTTAAGGACAGAAGAACAAGTTGAAGTGAACTGGTTTTTGGTCTAGTTTTGAAGATAATTAAAATGTGTTTGTGTGTCCATACCTATAGGTGGTGGAGGCGAGGGCGCTGGTGTGTCAGCTGTGTTCAACTGAATCAACTAACAAAAAGAAAAAATCGATAGAGTTAGAGTACCAATGGAAGCTCGAAGGAAGTGTATTTAATGACAGCAGATCTTCAAAAATGGTTGGAAAGTGACATTTAAAGCAAAAACGAAAGGAAAATTCAGGGTGCGTTTTACCATATAATCAGATTCAGCTTGGTGGATTAAGAGAAGAGAGAAGAGCAGCAAGGTTGTGCAGAGCCTCAACGACGCCATTAGCTTCGAGTGTAATTAGGTGTGGTTGGAATTCCAGAAACGAGCTTATATTTATAGATTGAGCTGGGAAGAAGAGAGGGAGAGAGTTAGGTTACTTCTTTAGTTTTACCCGATCAGTAAAAAGTGACGAGTAGGTGGATGCTGCGAATGGTAGATTCCCTATGCTTAACATTTAAGCAGAAGATAAACATATTTGCACTCGAAGAGACCGATGAATCAATTCTGTTGTACGAATGGTCACTATCAATCAAATCATGGGTTGGTCATTGGTATTGCCTTACATTCTTCATGATTAAGGTCCAACCTGTAAATGAAGACAATGGTGAGATAGGTGAAAAATCATAACGTTGCTTGAGCAAGCACTTTTGATTAAGCTCGCAAAGAGATTGGGTACTTTGGCACGGGATCATATGGTGATGGACTGCTTGAAAAGGAGGATTGGACTGTAAATTAGCTCATGCTTCCTTGCTAAGTTCGTATCTTTTGTCCCAAGGCTCGATCTCGGAATCCATTTATTATATTCATTTTAACCTTTTTTCGATGTGGGACGATTTCACCTGTTTAAATTAATCACCGCAAGCAAAATTATATCATTTGAAAAGAAAATAAGAATGTTCATAATACGTAATACACGACATAAATGACAGGTGTAGATAATATATTACATAAGTGCTTCTTCTAATGCCTCGATAAATCTTTACCATCAATTTGTGAAAATAATATTCTTATTAACTATTGAGATTTGTCGTGTCAACCAAACTTGCTTATGTCCGCTGTGGACTTTTTAGGCTTTTACTCTGTGAATTTGGGCTTACACACATGGTTAATACCATATGTGATTATGCTTGGCTCCTCTCCTGACCACTTGATTTTTGGGGTTTTGCATTTGCGATGGACCAAGTGGAAAATTAGTTTGTCATGTTTCAGCAATTGCTCGCAGGACCAGCCAAGGTCAAACTTTATCAATTCGAGTAAAATTCAGGCCTCAAACTTTGAGTTTTACCGATCCAACCATCAGCTATCTATCGGGAGAAATCATTGGGTGACTCTAGATTATGTTTAAAATGAATATAACATAGGTGGAACTCACATTGGACCGACATAGAATTCACAATTTTAACCATTCTCGTTGATCAATTGCGGTGAGCGAAAGAGTAATAAATGCAGTGGGAAGAAAGATACATGAAAAATCTTTATTCACGATGGATACAACATATAAAATGCTGAACACATTGTGAGTTTGCAATTTGCAAACCACTTCTTGACGAGCTCCATGAAAGTACAACAACAACGTCCCTATAATAATTAGCAGCAACTGCACGAGCTTGAGCGATCGATGTCCGACCATCGGAAAGGAGACGAAGCCCGTCAAGCATCTCATGGGCACTTGTGCTTGTTGTCGCGGGTGGTCATGGTGGCGTAGCACGGACAGACGTCGAGGTTGCCAGAGGTGCCCGGAGGGACGCAGTTGCAGCGGGCACAGCACGTCCCGCAAGCCCTTTGGCAAAGGTGAGGCCTCGACGACAGCTGACACCTGGCGGCGCACGCTCCGCCGCAGTCTACACAACAAACACGAAGACCTCATGTTACTATACGATTATTTGTTTTAAATATTGCAAGCGAAAAGGAGAGAGAGTTTTGTACCCATTTTTGGAAGTTTGGAATTGTCTCCTGCATTTCCAACTCCCTGCGTCTGTCAAGGACACAAAAGGGTTGTTTAGGTTAATAGGAATGGACAGTAGCTAATGCGATGCAGAAGAGAAGAAATCAAATGAGCGGAATATAGAATAATCGAAAGCAGAACAAGTTGTTACCATCTGGTCAGCTTCGGCAAGTTGAAGAAAAAGAACAGCGATTAAGACGGAAGCAATTAAAAGCCTGTGGACGGCCATGGTCGAGACTTTTCGGAGTTAGAATTGAATATCAATGATGTAAGTCCTAATGACTTTGGTCGAATGATGTTTGATACAATGAAATGGGAGGATAGAGGGTGGCTATATATATAGGCTTAGAGCAAGCAAAGTTCTTCTCTTGGACTGTCTCATTAAGATGGCCATAGGGGTCGGTAGCAAGTAGCCCGAGTGAATCATCTAGCGGCCGACTTCCAAAACGTGTAAGGTGGCCATCAGCACACCTTCCATGCATGCGTGGGCTGTTTGGCTTTCTTTTCCTGTGTTTTTTTAGCCATGAGCTGATGAAATGGGGACATTATGTTCGAAAGTTGAGGTTGGTTTGGTACGTTAAAGTTGCATGGGTTTTGTACTTTTGATCGATATTGGGCAAAGGAAAAAGCACTGGGGCTCTCAGTCTTAGATCGAACCTACACCAAATGAGAATGAGACTGAGAGAGAGAGCATCATCTGCCAGCTGGGGAACTCGGCAAACACAGCTGTTCTTCTTTTGTTATCCAGCAAACGCCAAACTAGAAAAGCTCCCCAAGGCCACCAGAGTATCGAATCGGACGGACCTGAGTGGTTTGAGTGGATCGATTTTCAATGTGAATGCGACAGGTTTCTTGTGCTTTGGCTCAAAATAATCTTTGAGAACCCCGGCCCATCACCCTTGAAAGTGTGCAGAGAGTCTAGAGACGAAGTTGGCTTCATGCATTCATGTTTAAACTAATCAAAACCAAAACAGCTTTGTCATAACCCTTTAGCGACCAATGTATTTGCGTTGAGGAAGACCATCTTAGGTGGGTAAATTACTAAACACGTGAATTATTCTACTAATATCATCGTGTGGATAAAAGGGAACTTAAAATTCAGACGGGTAGTTCGAACATAATAATGATTTTATTTAATAAAGCATGATGGCTGAATTATTAAAAGGATCGAGTTCATATTCGTGTATATCATTGGGTGTGCCATAATTCTTTTATCAAAGTTTAAATCGTTAGCTTTTGAAGTTCAATGTGCGACCGTTCGCTTGAAAAAAATTAAAGTATTTAATTAAAGCTTGAAATATCTTGTGTATATCAACGCAAGGATACCTTTAAAAGAGAAAAGGATTGATTTTTTACTAGTGATTTATAAAATGATATGATAAACTCTTGTTAAGTGCTCGCGTCCCATCACTTATTTTTAAAAAATCAATTAATAATGTGTCATATCAATTTGTAAACGAAACTTAGTACCCTTGGCGCGAGCTTATCTCACGTAAATAGTTGGAGATGCACAAAGTAATTAACTAACCGATGTGAAAATTTGTATTGGGTGTTTAATTATGCCTACTCGCCCAAATACCCTTTTATAGTCATTCTAAAGCGATATTCATAATCCTATTATTTCTCCATTTCATATTAACAATGATTGATCAATGAAGTACTTTCAAGTGTGTTTCATCGCTTATAAAGCGAATTTATTGAGACTCCTCAAAGACCTGCAATGGTTAACCTAAAACTTTGATTTTGAGCTGGAGATGAATGTTTTGCTTGAAATTTTGAAAAGGATAAAATTTTAATGGTTCGCATTTTCCTATAACCTACTAATCATAAAGGAAAAGTCTAACCACATAAATGGTAGGACTAAGGAAATTATTCAATCAATCCAAAACTTATTATACGGATACCAATTCAATCCAAAACTTTTCAATTTTGTCAATTTAGTCCTAAATTTTTGTCCGAAATTCAATGTAATCCTTCCTGTCAATATGGTCTATAAGTTTAAGAGGGACATTAATGTCACGGACCGTGATTATTTCGTACTCTCATACCCTTATGAGTGGAGTTTGGTGCTGTCGGGGTAAAGAATGAGTGATGTGGAGGGGATAATACAACTGGTTCGTGAGAATGACGTCGAGGCGGTTTATGCTAGGAGTTCTAACTTAGAATAAATATACCCTTAGGAGCTATGAAGGTGGGGTTGGTTTCCCGTGTACAAAATGGTTAGGAGCTGATGCCGCCCTCCCAATGAGGCCATGGCAAGCCGAAACCAGTTGTTGTACCGTATTGTTCTGCATGCCTTACTCGAGGAACTGGATACCCGAGCTAAACTAGGCCTGATACGATCCGATATAAGGATGTTATTCGCAGTACTATTCTTAGGAACAACTATAGAAGGAAGGCTGGCCTAAGATCTTAACTAGGGGTATGCAAAAAAATCGAGAACTGCCCGGAACCGATGGTTCCTAAGGGAACCGGTCCGGTTTCCGGTTCCAATTTTTGGGAACTGTTGGGCACCGGTTCAGTTCCCGGTTCTAGGTGTAAAACAACCACCCACCCACCCGTCCACCCGGACTGGATCGGTAATATAATAAATATAATATATAATATATATAATATATTTATTTAATTTTTATTTTTAAAAAAAGAAAAAGAAAAATCATAAATCTCAAAATTAAACCTAACTTACTCGACGCTTACAGCCTCACAATAAGCCGAGAAACACCTTGTTTCGCTTTCGCCTCACACTCACTCTCACTCTCTCACTCTTTTTGGTCGATGCTCACCTCACCGTCTCCGACTCTTTATCTCCGTCTCCATCCCCATCTTTCCGTCTCCATCCTTGGCTAGTGGGACCGGTTCCATGGATCCACTCGAGAGCCAGACCAGATCACGATCTGGTTCCTGGGTGGGTCTATGAAACTAACAGACGGTTTTCGATTCCAATTTTTTAGAACCGATCCTTAGTGGGTGGTTTCCGATTCTAGGGTGGGAACCGTCCACTCGGACCATGCTCACTCCTAGCCTTATCGACTCTTCCGCGGCTAAGAAACTGCTGGCCAGTGACGCTAGCATGACGGTACCATCACTTTCATGCAATAACGGCACAAGGAGAACCACTCACTTTCACGCTAGCATGGGGTGGGTTCCACTTATTTTCTTTCTCTCTCTTTTTTTAAGTATAAGGAACAATAAAAAGTGAATGGCAGAAGCGGCTCCGTCACTCTATTAAAAAGTGATGGAGCCATCACATAATCATTTCTCTAAATTTTAATTAGCTTCCCTACATAACATATTATTAGTCTGTGTGATTAAAGCAGAGTCATGTGCATATCATCAAGTGAGTCGGATTAAATCCACGAGGGCACATCATATGATATGATATATAATAACAAATACAGCCGGGAGTCTCCATGCAAATTATTGAGATGATGGTGTCCAGTTGCTCCGACCATCATCCCAACTCGGCCTTATCCGACTCACCAACTCTGAAGTAAGCAAAGTAGGTTTCTTTCCCAGCAGTATCCTTCGATCACTAAGTCAAGGGCTTTGAATCTTTGCTGAATCAATTATTGGCCAGAGCTTAATCTGGATCGGTCCACCACCATTCAAAAAAGCACTGCCCTCCTTCGTCGTCTTTTCTCGAGGCTCGACCACGTGTTCCCACTGCCAAGTTGCTTAGCGATACTCAGCAAGTCGTGCCGATCCCGACGACCAATCCTTGGACACTTGATTATATTGCAGGTCAACCACGCAAACACCGAACGGAGTCAGAGGCTTAAGATGAAGATGTTCGCATCTTTATCAGCATGTGAACTTTGACGGCTAAGAAAACAGCACCCGGCACGTGTCCAGGGCAAGTTCCATGATCCATCAATATTAATAATCATTGCTACGAGAGTTGATTTATGGATTGGACATGACTGAAGTCTTTATTACTGAGATACATCAGGAAAGACTACATAAACTTGGCCATGCACTAAAAAAAAAGAAACATATTTCGCAGGTGAAGCTTAGTCGATGATGAAACCCTTCTAGGGGCATTTAAGCCTGCCTCCGTGGGCAGTCATCTTGGCATAGCAAGGGCAGGCGTCGTAATTGCCAGAAGTTTCCAGGGGCACGCAGTCGCAGCCAGCGCAGCAAGTCCCGCATGCCCTCCAACACAGGCTCGGCCGCGACAACAGTTGGCACCGAGCAGCACAAGCTCCATCACAATCTTGAGATGAACGGGATAAGAACAAAGCTCAGAATGATCATTATTACATGGAAGAGGAAGACGGATTTTTTTCCTTCTTTTATTTAATCCCCTTTAAGGACAGAAGAACAAGTTGAAGTGAACCGGTTTTTGGGATTTCTAGTTTTGAAGATAATTAAAATGTGTTTGTGTCCATACCTGTATGTGGAGGTGAGGGTGCTAGTGTGTCAGCTGTGTTCAACTGAGTTACTTAACAAAAAGAAAAAAAATCGATAGAGTTAGAGTATAAATGGAAGCTCAATGGAAGTATATTCAATGACAACAGATCTTCAAAAATGGTTGAAAAGTGACATTTAAAGCAAAAACATGAGGAAAACTCAGGGTATGTTTTACCATATAATTTGATTCAGCTTTGTAGATTAAGAGAATAGAGAAGAGCAGCAAGGTTGTACAGAGTCTCAACAACACCATTAGCTTCGAGTGTAACGGGGTGTGGTTGGAATTCCATAAACGAGTTTTATTTATAGATTGAGCATGGAAGAGAGGGAGAGAAAATTTCCCCATGCTTAACATTTAAGCAGAAGATAAACATATTTGTCCTCGAAGAGACTCATAAATCGATCCTGCTATATCAATGGTCAGTATCAATCAAATCGTGGGTTGGGCATTGGTATGGCCTTTTCCTACATTGTTCATGATTAAGGTCCAATCTGTAAAAAGAAGTCAATGGTGAGACAGGTGCAAAACCACAGAGTCACTTGAGCAAGCACTTTTCATTAAGCTCGCAAAGAGAAAGGTACTTTGGCACAGGATCATGTGGTGATGGACTGCCTAAGAAGGAGGATTGGACCGTAAATCAGCTCGCGCTTCCTTGCTAAGGTCATATCTTTTGTCCCCGGGGTTCGATCTCAGAATCCATGTATTATAGTTATTTTAAACCTTTTCGACGTAAGACGATTTTATCTGTTCGAATTAATCAACGCAAGCGAAATGGTATCATTCGAGATAAATTGTGAAAATGATATTTTTATTAACAATTGAGATTTGTTGCTTGTGTCAACCAAGCCAACCATTTTTGTTGCTTATGTCAACCGTGGACTTTTGGACTTTGCTTTTGTTTTTTAGTGAATTTGGGCTTACAGATATGGTTAAGACCATTTATGTGATTGGGCTTGGTTCCTCTCCTGGCCACTTGATTTTTGGGGTTTTGTATTTATTAAAATATATCTCGAGTTTGAGCCCGTTGAACAAACCCGATCCAAACCGAATTTTGTATAAGCAGTGCAAGAAAGTTCGGAATATAATGTTGCAGATTCCGGACATTATTTGCCGTGTTTGAGTCGTGACGTAATCAAGGTTGTTTCCACATTGAAGTCGGAGAAGAAATCATCTTTCCTGATGGGCGTTGGAGTCTTGGTTTGAAATAGGAAAGTCCAGCGCGGACTTTGAGCTGGACATGGAATCAGTCAACAATGGGTCAGTGACAAGAAGAAAAGAAAGGGGGATCAGTTGGATTTTATTTCCTATTTTGACTAGGCGTGGGCTTCACACGGGACTTCTCTGAAGGTTGTATATATATTATTCTTTTTGGGTCAGACGGTGAAGAGTTGTCACAGCGTGGTCTTCGTTCTATTCATGTCCAAGAAAGAGAGAAATATTGAAACGCTGTTCACGAGTTCTTGACAATGGATATTTCTCCGTGGGTTTTATTCGTGGAATTACATTAAGAATTCAAGTGTTTAAACCAATCAAATTCTTGTGATAAAAATTTGTGTATAATTCTTTCGTGAGATTGAGAGATTATTTCGTAAGGAATTGCGACGCTAAACACTGCGTGAGTTATTGAGTGTAATTGGGGCTTGGAAAATACTGAGAGCTTTTGAATGACTCAAGTGTGATTGTAATATCTATTGTATTGCTTGATTTATAGTGGAATTCGTTATTGCTCTCCCCATGGACGTAGATCGCTATACGACCGAACCACATAAATCTGGTGTCCAATTTATTTCCTTATTCCGTTTATTTTATTGTTCGATCGTTTGCTTCCGCAACAGCATTTGCGATGGACCAAGTGGAAAATTAGTTTTCATGTTTCAGCAATTGCTTGCAAGACCAGCAAAGGTTAAACTTTATCCATTCGAGTAAAATTCAGGCCCCAAACTTTGATTTTCACCGATCCAACCATCAGTTATCAATCGGGAGAAATCATACGGTGAATCTAGAATATGTTTAAAATGAATATAACATAGGTGGAACTCACATTGGACCGACGTAAAATTTACAATGTTAACCATTTAGACTTAATTTAATACGTATTGTAAATTTCTCGTTGATCAATCGCGGTGAGCGAACGAGTAATAAGTGCAGTGGGAAGAAAGATGAATGGAAAAACTTCATTCACGATGGATACAACAGATGAATTGCTGAACACATTGTGAATTTGCAATTGCAAACCACTTCTTGATGAGCGCCATGAAATCACAACAACAACAACAACAACATCCCTATAATAATTAGCAGCAACTGCACGAGCTTGAGCGATCGATGTCCGACCAGCAGAAAGAAAATGAAGCCCGTCGAGTATCTCATGGGCACTTGTGCTTGTTGTCACGGGTGGTCATGGTGGCGTAGCACGGACAGACATCGAGGTTGCCGGAGGTGCCCGGAGGGACGCAGTTGCAGCGGGATCAGCACGTCCCGCAAGCCCTCTGGCAAAGGCGAGGCCTCGAAGACAGCTGACACCTGGCGGCACACGCTCCGCCGCAGTCTACACAACAAACATGAAGACTTATGTTACTATACGATTATTTCTTTTAAATATTACGAGCGAAAAAGAGAGATAGCTTTGTACCCATTTTTGGAAGCTTGGAATTGTCTCCTGCATTTCCAACTCCCTGCGCCTGTCAAGGACACAAAAGGGTTGTTTAGGTTAATAGGCATGGACAGTAGCTAATGTGATGCAGAAGAGAAGAAATCAAATGAGCGGAATATAGAATAATCGAAAGCAGAACAAGTTGGTACCATGTCAGCTTCGGCAAGCTGAAGAAGAAGCACGGAGATTAAGACGGAAGCAATTAACAGCCTGTGGACGGCCATGGACGAGCCTTTTCAGAGTTAGAATTGAATATCAATGATGTAGCCCTGATGACTTTGGTCGAATGAAGTTTGATACAATGAAATGGGAAGATAGAGGGTGGCTATATATATAGGCTTAGAGCAAGCAAGTCCTTCTCGTGGACTGTCTCATTAAGATGGCCATAGGGTTGGTAGCAAGTAGCTGGGTGAATTATTTGCGGCCGACTTTCGAAGCGCGTAAGGTGGTCATCAGCACACCCTCCCTGCATGCGTGGGCTGTTTGGCTTTCATTTCCTGCGTGTTTTTCTGAAGTTGAGGTTGGTTTGGTACGTAAAAGTTGCATGGGTTTTGTACTTTTGATCTGAAGGGATGTATCGAGAACCGAAACAGAACGATCACGCAGAAAACAGAGAAAATAGACGATGCACGAATTTACCCAGGTTCACCCTCGATTAGGGCTACGTCCTGCAAAGAGATTTCACTATGTTTTCGGTTTACAGCCACTCAACTCGTTACAATGATCAGAAAAATGAGTAAAATGTATATATGCACCAAACGGGCCCAAAACCTAAACCTATATGAAATCTCTTAATCTTGCACCATACGGGCCAGCCCAAACCCGTTGAGGTTTCGGGGGCGCTGCCCCGAGCCCCCGCCCGCTCACCGGCGAGCTGGCCAGGCGGCAATCCATTGGCCCGGGCGGCGGAGACCCCGTCGGCGCGCCCGAACCCAGCCCGGCCCAGCCGAGCGGCGGGGCACCCGTGTCGGGGCGGCGCCCCGAACCCCCGCATTCCGCACGCATGGGTCACGTGTCGTCGGACAACACTTCGGTTTCCCTAAGCTCACGTGGGCGTACCCGGTGTGAGAAACAAGGGTCCCCGAAGTATTCGCCAACTCCAACATTCTCCCACTTGGTGGATACTTCGTGCAAATGAGGGCCTTTCCAATATCATTCTTCTTCAATCCAATCGCAGTAGAGCACCATTCAAACTTCGCACCTGTGACGGCTTTAGTAAGGAAGTCAGAACTATTTTCTACCGTGTCGACCTTTACAAGCCGAACCTCTTTCTTCTCTACCTTTTCTCGGATGAAATGATATTGTATATCAGTGTGCTTTGTGCGTGAGTGAAATGCTGGATTCTTAGCTAAATAAATAGCCCCTTGATTATCACATCTCACCTCTATGGCACCTTTCTCAAAACCGAGCTCCAAGCACAACCGCCGTAACCATACGGCCTCTTTTCCAGCATGAGTAAGAGCCATATACTCAGCCTCAGTAGAAGAAAGCGCTACCACGCTTTGCCTCCTGCTCATCCAACTCAATGCAGCACCAAACAATGTGAAAACATATCCGCTAGTGGACCGTCTACTATCAATATCTCCACCCCAATCAGCATCTACATGGCCTACGATATCAAGCATGTTTCCATTCCCTGTACCTTCAAAACATAAAGAAAAATTCAAAGTTCCACGAAGATACCTGAAAACTCTTTTGATCGCATTCCAGTGTTCTCTACCTGGGTTAGACATGTATCGACTCAAGACTCCCACTGCTTGGGCTATATCCGGACGCGTGCACACCATAGCATACATCAAGCTACCCACTGCACTCGCGTATGGAATTCGGGCCATCTCTTCAGCTTCTTCATCTGTTTTTGGACATTGTTCCGCAGATAGCTTGGTCCCTAAAGGTATAGGGGTACCAACAGGCTTGCAGTCTATCATATTGAATTTCTTCAATATTTCTTTTATGTATTTCTCCTGCCCTAGCCACAGCTTCCGTTTCTCACGGTCCCTCCTAATCTGCATGCCCAAAATAAAATTTGCAGGCCCCAAGTCTTTCATTTCGAACTTTTTGGCCAGCAAACTCTTCACGGAATTCACCATCTTCACACTATTCCCGATCAACAACATATCATCCACATATAGCGTGAGAATAACAAACTGATCGCCCGTTCTCTTCACATAAACACAATGGTCAGAATTTGAACGCACAAAATTAAGTTGGAGCATGTACGTGTCAAACTTCTGGTACCACATCCTCGGTGACTACTTCAGCCCATATAAAGACTTTTTCAATTTGCACACTAAATTCTCCTTTCCTCTTACTTCAAAGCCTTCTGGTTGCCTCATATATATCTCCTCCTCCAAGTCCCCATGAAGGAATGCCGTCTTTACATCCATCTGTTCTACCTCAAGATCATATGCAGCTGCTATGGACAGAACAAACCGTATCGAGGTCAACTTCGCCACGGGAGAGAAAATCTCGTCATAGTCAACTCCCTCAATCTGAGAGTACCCCTTGGCTACAAGCCTAGCCTTGTACTTCTCTACAGTCCCATCCGGTTTCAGCTTTCGCTTGAACACCCATTTACACCCAATTGCCTTTCTATCCT